TTTTTTTTTTTTTTTGGTAGTCTATTGGATATTCAGCACTCTTCTCCATACCATAGTTCAAAGGCATCAATTCTCTGTCATCCTTACTCACATTCTGGTGTCAGCAGCATAGCAAGTGATTGAAAAGACCATGACCTGATTCAGGCATATCTTACTTAGTCCTCAAACTGACATAATCGCTGCTTAATAATTTTGAGAAGTTTATGACTGCAGACTTTTCCAGTGTAATACATCTTCCGCCCTCATGACTGCTGATGCTAAGTGTATTGATTGTGGATCAAAGGAAGATAAAGTTGCAGACAGTTTAAATCTTTGCTCCATCTATCATGATGTTGTCCATAGCTCTAGTGGTGAGAATTTTTGCTTTCTTGATGTTGGAATGCAATCCACATTGAAGGCTGTATGTCATTGTTTAGTCATTAGGGAACAGCAAATAAAAAACTATAATGAAATGCCACTCTGCATACCAACTAGAATGGCTATTAAAAAATAGATAACAGTGTTAACAAGGAATAAAGAAATTGGAATATGTGTCCATTGCTAATGGGAATGTAAAATTAAGCAATCATTGTGGAAAACATTTTGCCATCTTCAAAGAATTTAAGTAGTATAATCACATGACCCAGAAATCCCACTCCTCAGCTCATACTCAAATACTCAAAAGATTTGAAAGCAAGGATTCAAATGTGTGCATCAATTTTCATGACACGTAAATGTTACTCTTTTTTTCCATATGAAAATATGACTGATGTGTATATTCCACTTTGCGGTTTTTTCCCCATGATTTTATTTCCCCTAGAATATAAAGATGTTTCCTGAAAAATAAAGTTAAGTTTCCCAGTTTTTCATATGTTCTGCCTATAATAACTCCATTTTTCTGTCTATTAGGGGACAGTTAAACATACTATATGAGGTAATTTGCTAAAATATGACTAGTAGCCAGAAAGAGAGACAGTACTTCCAAAAAGTGAGTATTTCTTTCCTATCAACAGGCTGAGTCTCTAATTAGACTTTTTCATCTACTCAAGAGGGAGGATAATCTTTGACTCTTAAACATACATATTCTATAGTATAGTATAGTGTAGTATTAGTATTAGTATAGTATAGTATAGTATAGTAGAAACATTTTGACAAAGCTTATAAAATCCTGACATAACTGTAAAATGAATAATGGCTTTCTGATCCCTATGGACTAAAGATAAATAAGCTTTCCCTATGGAACTGATAGATCCACACTTTCAACTCAGGGTCTTCTCATAGTTAGCAGTATTCTGCAGGGTTAACAAGTGTGGAGGAGCACAAGTGTGAAACCACACATGTTTGAAAGAGTGATCTAACACATCCACCAGAGTTCATCAAAGCCATTTCCAACAAATGGCTGCCGGCACTACCTCCAACTTGGAGGGCTGAGCAATTGATTGCCTTGTGAAGAAATGGCTTGAAATGTGAAGTTGGTTTAAACTGCATCAGAAAAAGGATCTCAACCAAAGGCAGTAATAGGTTTCGATTCAATGTGGGAAACGAGACCCATACTGGAGACTGGATCTCCCAGGTGGTCTGAGAACTTCCACTTTGCTGTTGAAATAGCTGAGAATGAGGTGGGGATAAACATTAGATCTTTCACCCAAGGAGAAGATCTGTAGTACTTAATATACAGTAACTTTCAAGAGTGTTTTCTCAGTTTCACTACCATAACTACAGTGGAAAAGCATAAATAGTACACTTCAGAATTTTTCTCACAGAAATGAAACTGATGCTTTTGAAGACCTTTGGGAAGGTACTTAAATTTAACTTATGGTTAAAATGATGTAGCTTTAAACAAACTCAAGGAAAATCAAATGCTTTTTACAGAGCCTGGTGATTACATTTTGATGTGTTACACACCATTTTCCTTCCCAGCTGGCCCAGGTTGCTATGAAAACATTTGTTCCTTTATCCAAAGAGCCAAGTGGCAGGATGGTGCCCCAGGCTTCAGCAGCTGGGAAGATGGTATGACTGAGGGCAAGCTGCCCATCTCCCAGGTTTTAAGTCATTGAGAAGACTTGAAAGAAAGAGTAAGTGACTAGAAGTAAAATAAAAGGCAATAAGAGGAAAGCCAAACTTTCCTCTCTCCCCACTCACTCAATTCTCTTTGATTTTTGCTTCCACCTTTTACTATTGCACTTCTTATTATGTGTTTCTCCAAGAATAATGCTTATATTTTGGCTCTAGGAATGCGTTCAAAGGGGAGTTAGTTTCTTAATCTCATGCAAAAGTCTACAGTAGGTAGGTAACAGGGTTTATTGAAGTGGTCGTGATATTGTGAGAAAGATTACTTTATTAACCGCAGAGAAAAACTCGGTGAAATTACAAGGCCTCTCAGAGCTTTCAGACTATTTTCCATCTTGATGTTTCATTCTGATCTAGCATGGGTTAAAGGATTCACTAGTTACTTGCACCATCGGATTAAGGGGCCTTGTGGATCCTTATGGGATAGTTAGGTGATTCTAGTGATATACATGCAGCTACTAACTCAAAAAGCTGGTGGTTTAAAAACACCAAGAGGCAACATAGGGAGGAGGGGTCTGGTTGCCTTGTAGGCAAGAAATAGCACTCCCAACTCAAAGGCAGATAGTTCTAATCCACCAGCTTCTGTGAGAGAGAAAGAGAGTTAATCTCCTCTCATGTGATTCACAGCTTTTAAAAAGCCACTGAAAGGTCAGCTAGGAGTCAGTTCTGACTTGGTAACATATGATGACAACAATAACAACAGAAATACTATGGAATATAAACCTGGCAACCTGCTTCCTTAAAGATAATTGTTTTTGTTGTTGTTGATTGCCTTTGAGTGGAGCACGACTCATAGAGACCCTATGAACAAAAGGCCTGAAGCTCCTCTACAACTATGGACATTTATCAAAGTTCATAGAGTTTCCAGAGGCACATTGTTTAGGAAGTGGCTGCCACTCCTGCCAGATTACGCACAAGAAAATCCACAGAGCTGAGTTCTACTCACTAACACATGGAATTACCATCATTCAGAATTGACGCAACAACAGGCTTGGCTTTTGGCTTGTCCTTATATTTTTCATGCCAGATTAAAATTCTGGCTCTGGAAATCTCTCCTGAAGACAGATATGACTAAGGCCGGGTCACATCTGCTATATGGGAATTAACACCGACATGTTCTGGCTCTCTCTCCAAACATTCCATGGTGATTGCACTGACTTTAAAAAGTTTTGCGCTCAATGAGCTTTCAGTAGAAAAAAAAAGGATATAACAGGAAAACAAGGCAGTTATCTGGCTCTAAGAGACAAAGAAGGTTCTTATGCTAGAGTCATTTACAGCGTGGTTAGAGATCAATCAGACGCTAGGAATGAGACATGGGTCTGTGCACTGGAGTGTGACGGAGGAGCCTGAGGGGTGAGGGAAGTGCAGAGATGGAGGGAAATGGAAAGAGAGAAAATATGGGTCCTGCTGCACAGAGACAAAGACACCATTCCTACAGGTCTGGAGTAGAAGGTTTGAGTAGAGTCTTTAAAATTCAGCCCAGGTAGTTCTGGTGTACAGCCAGATTGACCAAATACTTAAGAAGGAGAGACTCACGCTGCCTTCCAGTACAAATGTATTCTGGGTTATCTGGGAACCACTGACATCAGCTGGAACCTTCATTTTGTCACTATATGTTTCCTGGCTATTGATAACTTACTGACAATACATTTCCTCACTATTGATAAACACATTAAGTAAGGCTGATACTTACTGCTGCAAAAGTCCCATTCCAAATTCTTGTGGACACATTAAGGAAATATTCTCCTTTCACTTGAAGGTCTTTCAGCCAGCAGGTGACATTGCTACAGGAAGCAGTTCTGCAATTCTTGAAGGCATTGGTGAGAGAAGAGAGAGACTTAGCATGGATTTCCAAAAAGTAAATGCATTATGCTAACTGAACTCAGTCCCATAAAGACAAATACTGTGTTAAGACCATGATTGGTGAACATGTATGAGGATCCAAGGTGGGCAGGGGGAGCAGATGGGTGAGGATAAGTGGGAAAGGGAATAGTTAGTTAATCATAGGGTCACACAATTTGATGGGTGGAGGGAGGACTGTGTAAAAGAAACAGGAAAGATCGGTGTGAAAAACTGAGTATATGAACATATTAAGTAAACCAGTATGAAATAAATATTTTATTTAAATTTTTAAAAACGCTAAAATTTTGTAATGGTTGTGAAACCCAATGATGGGAAGAGTGGGGAAATAGGTAATGCTATAACTCAAAACAGACGAAGTGCACACCCTTTCATCAGATACTTCCCTTTCCTAAACTACATTGCTTTAAGAGATGAACTTAAATGCATGGGGAAAAGGATACTAAGACTCTTAAATGCACTACTATTTCTTTGTTGTTGTTGTTGTTATGTGCCGTCGAGTCGTTTCTGACTCATAGCGACCCTATGCACAACAGCCCTAAACGCTGCTCTATCCTGCGCCAACCGCACCGCCTCTGACACACCCACCCCGATTACCCCAGTCACCGAATCAATCCATCTCATAGAGGGTCTTCCCCTCCTGCGCTGTCCCTCCACCCTCCCAAGCATGATGTCCCTCTCCAAGGACCCATCCCTCCTGGCAACATGTCCAAAGTATGTCAGACGAAGCCCCAGAATCCTTGCCTCCAAGGAGTAGCTTGGTTTAATCCTCTCCAAGATGAATCTGTTTGTTTTCCTGGCAGTCCATGGTACATTAAGTACCCTTCTCCAGCACCACAGCTCAAAAGCATCCACTCTCCTTCTGTCCTCCCTAGTCACTGTCCAACTCTCTGATGCATAACAAGCGATTGCAAATACCATGGCCTGTGTCAGGCGCACCTTAGTCTCCAGAGAGACACTGTTGCTCCTGAGTACCTTTGAGAAGTCCCTAACAGCAGACTTTCCCCTTGCAATATGCTTTTTGATTTCCTGACTGCTGGCACCAAGAGTGTTGACTGTGGAGCCGAGCAAACTGAAGCTGTGAACACTCTCAATCTCTTCGTCATCCATCCTGACGCTGCCAATTGGTCCAGTGGCAAGAATCTTTGTCTTCTTGACATTGAGCCTCAGTCCATACTGAAGGCTGCAGTCCTTGACCCTTCACAGCAAGTGCATGAGGTCCTCCTCAGTTTCAGCAAGCAGGGTTGTGTCATCTGCATAACGCTATTTCTTATAATAAAAAATTTAACTTATGTTTACCACAATGTCCCAGTTAATTATTGGACTAAAACTGCAGCACAAGTCAGGCATTAAACTTAATGCTGCATTCCTTACATTAAAAAAAAGGCGGCTATGAGACGCTTACCTATAAACAGACTACATTAATCCTTTTACATAATTTCATTTTGTGCCTTCAAATTGATGACAACTCAACCCTATGAACCTTGCCCTATCTTGTACCAGCCTTCCAATCTCGGCCCTGCTCAAGACCATTGCTAGTGTCAGTGTGTCTTTCCACCTCCTTTGCTGACCATCTACCTTTCCCTGCAGGAAGTCTTTTTTCCAAGGATTGACCCCTCCTGATAACACATCTGACTGGCATAATGTTGTTTAGTGCTGTTGAGCTGGAAGTGATTCATAGTTGACACTCTAGCAGGTATTCAGGGGCTGCCAATCACACAGGAGGAGGCTGCCTATCTTTCTCCTTTGGACTAGTGTCACAACTCCTTACTCACTGGGTCACCAGAGCTCTTTCATCTATAGAATGATTTACATATATTAATATGGGTAATACAAATGATTATTATGCTTGGCTGTTAATGTAAAGGCTAGAAGTTCCAAAATTAATGTAAGGGAAGGTCTGGTAGCTTAGTGACAAAGAGCTGCACTGCAATCCCAAAGGTGTGCAGTTCAAATGCACCAGATGCTCTGCTGGAGAAGGAGGGGCAATCTCTTCCTGTGACAGTCATATTTAATCCAATGGCATACGAAAAGGAAAATAAAGAAATAAATCTTTTTAAAGGGCAATGCAAATGAAAGAAACTGGTATTTTGTCTACCCACTTGTGAAATATTAACCATTGAATATTTTATAGAAGAACACAGTTCTACAATGAAATACTTGGAGTTGCCATTAATAGGAATCAACTTGGCTGGCAGCAGTTTTTTAAATGCATCTACATGATGATAAATGCTTGAAGATATAGAGAAGCATTCATTCACTTAATAAGCAATTTCAGATTCCAGGATAATTTTATTTTAGTCTTTTTCTTCTTTTGCATTATTTCACTTCTTCACAATGAGTAGTTGCTATGTTTACAAAAGTAATCAACATAAAAAGAAAATGCTGAGAAGTAACATAGCAAGCAGAGTGTTATTGGAAATGTTTACATGCTACTATTATGTAAACCAAATTAATAATATGTTTATACTATAACTACCCTACAAATAATTTTTTACTGTTCTCCCATTCTTGACAAAACAAAAACAATTAAAGAAGACCAGGAGAATTTCAATGCTGTTCATACAAAGAGAATTGTTTGTGCTTTGTTTGGTCTTGGCTTATTAATTACTTATTTAAATATTTACATTTTGCTAAATGTTACACTATTTGACTTCTGAAAACAGAGGATATAGTAAGGAAGAAAATGAGAAAAGAAGATATTGGTGGCCAGATAAGCATAGTTAGCAACGGAATAAAAGCATTAGCTAGCACATGTAAAAGAAGTTTCAACTTTAATGCACATACTCTAGTCTCTTCAGCTCTTTTGACCAATTTCTAAACAATAATTTTTTCACAGTCTTGAATCTCATGAATTTTGGAACATTTTTATAATAATTGTTTTGCAGTTATTATGTGCCAATCAAGTCACCGGCTACTCACAGAAACCCTATGCACAATAGCTCTGAATCCTGCCCTACCTTGAGTAAGTCTAACTCTGACATATCTGCTTCCAGTTACTGTGTCAGTCTATCTTCTCCAGCATCTTCCTTTCTTGCACTGACCTTTTATGCTTCTAAACATGAGGTTTTACTTCAAGGACTGGACCCTCCTGGCAACATGTCCATATTATGTCAGATGGAGATTCAAAATCCTTGCCTCCTCCAAAGAACAACTTGGTTTCACATTCTCCAGGTCAAACCTGTTTATTCTCTTAGCGACCCACGGAATGTTCAATACTCTTCTACAGCACCACAACTCAAAGGCCACAGATCCTCTGTCAACCTTAGTCATTGTCTGATCCATAGCTCTCTGATGCATAGCAAGTGATTACAAAGGGCTGGATCAAGCATACCTTAGTTTCTAGACTGACATCATTGCTCTTTCACATTCTAGAGGGTTCCCTGACAGTAGATTTTCCCAATGCAATTTGACTTTTGATTTTCTGACCATTGGTGCCAAGAGTGTTGACTGTGGAATAGAGTGAACTGAAATTGTTAACAATCTCAATCTCCTCTTCATCTGCCAATTCACCCAGTGGTGAGGATCTTTGTCTTCTTGATGCTGAGCTTCAATTTATATAAAAGACTGCAGTCCTTGATCTTCTGCAGGAGACACTTCTGGCCCTTCTCAGTTTCAGCAAGCAAGTTTGTGTCATCTGCATAAAGCAAGTTGTTCATGAATCTTCTTCCAGTCCTCATGTCACATTCCTCCTCATAAAGTCCAACCTCTTGAATGAGCTGTTCTGCATATCAAGTGAAAAGGTATAGAGACAGATTGCATCTGTGACACACTCCTTTCCTGATTTTGAACCGTGTAGTGTTCCCTTGCTCTGTTCTGAGGACTGTCTCCTGGTCCAAGTACAGGTTTTGTGTGAACATAATCAGATGTTCTGTCATTCCAATTCTTTTTTTTTTCCTATAATTATATTTTATTAATTTTCATAAACATTTACAGAGATTTTGGTTTTCCATTCATTCATTGTTGCACTATTCTCACTACCCTCCTCCCAGTTTGTTCTTGTCCAATTCTTAAGTCAGCTACAATTTAGCATAAGTAATAATATTAATAACTAAGATTTGGGCTATACTTTTCATTTATAGAGCTATCAAATGCAAAAGAAGAATGGCCCCTGAGTGGTACAAATGCTTACTGCATGGCTTGGCAGTTCAATTCTACACAGAGATGCCTCAGAAGAAAGATCTGTCAATGTATGACTAAAAAACCAGCCACTGAAACGCTACAAAACACAGTTCTACTTTGACATGTACAATGCAGTCATCAGCAGGTATCTACTGTTTTCTTCTTTGTTTTTCACTGATGCTATGAACTGGTAGGAGATAAACTGGTGGGTCTTCAGATAAAATAAACAATGAATCATTACATTAACCCATTCTTACCAATTCTTTTATGTGATGGAAATTCTCATTCTTGAAAGATACAGAAGAAGATGCATGTCCTATTTTCAGTGGATTTGTTTCTGCCTTACAACTGATGTCCCCCACCTACAAGGAATTATATAAAAAAAAATCCGTCTTAGGAAAGGAAATTCCTCATGAAGTTCTTTTCAGTGTGTTATAAAATTCTGTCATCACCTAACAGGGCAGGGAAAGGGCTATTAGGCTTTGTCATTGCACTATACTGACCACATTTATACCTGCTAGACCTTAAACCATTCAGATTATCTTGATATAATATGAGGGGTATGAGGCTGCTTCTTGGATCTTATATTTGAGGGGACAAATTTGCAATGACAATATTCTGAGAGGGATTTTAATCCAGGGTTGCTTTTTCTAGATTCTTTTTACTGTATGGAGTAACCTATGTAAACCACAGTAATATCAACAGCTAGATAGAGCCAGCTAGATATTAAGCTAAGGAACAGTCAATGTTACTTGGCACACGGTGCTTTCCATGTTTGAAAGCTTTAAAGAATAATCCCATCCTTAGAGGTTCTGATTTCATTACCAAAGGTGAGAAGGAGCATTACTCTTATTTAAAAAGAAGAAGATTAAAATGAGCAAACAAAGTTGAATAATATCAAGTGCAAGGTTGAGAGGAAGCTTAAAGATCAGCCTCTTATTGCAGATGTGTTGACCTACTACTCTCCCATAGCAGAGTCAACCTCTCACTTCCTAGGCAATGACCCTGCTCCTAAATAGAGTTCTGACAAAGTCTTATCTTTACCTGGCCCAAAATAAATCCCTAGGTTCAGGCATCTGTTGTCTTACAACTATAGTCTGCTTCTAGTATGAAAATCATTTAAGTGGTGCTAAGGCTTTTTGAAGTTTATATTCTCATTTTCCCATCTAAAAATGTCAGCCATGATCACTCCAAATTCATAGATGATTTCCATTTTGGAAGTGCACATTTTTATAAGATACATTTTATTATCTTTACCTTGTCTGTGTGAACTCCAACCAAGTACATCAGTGGGTTCTTTGCTTTGGTATATTGAGGGATGTGGATGTTTACATATGCCATGCTGACTGGAACACTTCCTGTTGTCACCTAGGCAGGAGGAAGCATACTGGTTATCAATACATGATGCTATACTAATGCTGAGAAGTGATCAATAACTTCTATACCTATGAAGGCCAAATATAAAGGAGTAAGACAGATTCCAGATGAAAGGGGGCTTATTATCATACAGACATATTTAGGGTCCCAATGTTTCACCTCTTACTGGGAAATCTCAACATATACAACATATACATGTTAGATATTTTGTAATGGAAGAAATTCTGGGCTGCGGAGTGCTAACACTTTCTGTGGAGTTGAACTGGTAGATATGGAATCCCACTGACCAGCTCTGTGGCTTGGCTGAGGTTCATCACCTCTTATGCTTAGTTTTCTTACTATAAAAAATAAGTATAGCCAAGAACTAAGTAGGTATGTCTTGACACAATGCAACAGTCAGCATCTCGTCTCACTGACGGGGTTCTTCTTTTCATTGACTGGTGCTCATGTCAGTCCCTGCAGAAGCACATCATGCTACCTACCAGCCTAATTCATTGTGCAGCTATCCAGATGCACAACGAGTGACTGAAAAGACACACCTCAGTGATCAGGCACACCTTAATCTTTAAGCTGACATCACTGCACCTCCAATGCCTTAGAGAGTAGATTTTCCAAATGCAATGTTGCTGCTGTTGTTGTGTACTGTCAAATCAGAAACAAACCTTCAGTGAATTTTCAAAGACAGCAAATCTCATGGGAAGAGACTGTCCACCCTGTGGAGCATCTGGTGGGTTTGAACAGTGTGCCTTTGCACTGGCAGCACAAATTCTTATCTGTAGGCCACAAGAGCTCCCTTAGAAGAGAGTCAACAAAAAAGAGACAAATCTTCGCAGAGGTGGATCGGCACTCTGGCAGCAACAATAAGCTTCGCAGTAATCGTGAAAATGGCCCAGAACCAGGCATTGTATACACAGGGTGGCTATGAATTGGAAATGACTGAAGGGCACTTAATAACAGCATGACCTAAAAACAAAACAAAACCCCAACTCATTACTGTCATGTTGTCTTCAACTCATTCCAGCCCTGAGACAAAAACTGCTTCTTACTGTTTCCAAGACGGCAAATCTTTAGAGAAACAGACTATCACATATTTCTCTGATGGTGAGGTTGGGGAGGTGGAGCTTCCTACCTTCTGGTTAGTGGCTGAACACTTTAACCACTGTGTCACCAGGGCTCCTTACTCATATCCTGTTAGTATTTAAATATCATAGATAGGAAGACCAACAGTCCTACCTTCAGAACTGATATGAAAATTGTGTGAACAAATCTGAAGCATTTGATACAATGACTAACATATTTATCAATAACATTTATTACCCAAAAAGAAATAAAAAATAATTTTATTACTACTCATTGGTGAAATGCCTCAATGAAGGATGTAGGTGCCAAATACCACCCATGTTTCATAAATTTTACTATTACAAATTAAGATTCTCTTAAAGATTTCTTTTTTCTACTTGTAAAATTGCCAGGCTGCAAGTATGTAAAGGACTAGAAGGAAATGGACAAAAAGAAATGGTACTGATCTAGGGAAGGGGATGATGTTATCTTACCTTGCCGTGTTGTTGTTAGGTCCTGCCTAGTCAAGTACAGCCCATAGTGACCCTATGAAAATCAAATCTGAACTCTGTACCATCCCGTGTCATCCTCACACTTCCTGACACATTGATGTTCTCAAATTACAAAGCAGTCATTCTGTCACTAATCTCTTTTCACTCTATGTAACAACAACAACAGATTACAATTAATTGTTATTTATCAATAGCCAGTAGAAAATGATTCTAAAATATTACTACATAGATGATAGGGATCTCTGGTGGCCTAGTGGCCTCGAGTGGTCTAGTGTGGCTGTGCTGTAAACCCAAAGGCACGTGTTTCAAATCCACCGGCTGCTCCAAGGGAGAAGGATGGGCAATCCTCCAAAAACCCACTGCAGGGTCAGTTATGGGTCGGTTCCAAATTGATGGTACACAACAACAACAACATAGATGATTACACAAAATCTGTATTTGGATACAAATGCAAAGCTTCTCAAATTGAAAACAAAACCAAGCCCACTGCCTGCTATGGAGTTAATTCTTCGTCCTAGTGACTTGGCTTTCCAATGCTACAAATCTTTAGGGGAGGAGATCACCCATCTTTCTCCCATGGAGGCACTGGTGAATCCAAACCACTGACCTTTTGGTTATCAGTCTGATACATTGCACACTATGTTACCAGAGCTCCATAAACTGCACGGGTCTCTAAATTGGCATAGTAATTATATGCCCACTATAAAAAAAAACAAAACTGCTGGGTTCATAAGTATGCTATCATTTCCCTCACACTCTCCCTAGCTAATAATAGGTGTAGGAGCTGCTGATTGGCATAAGGTGAAGTGTGTCTTCCTCGTTGTTGTTAGGAGCCATCAAGTTGGTTTCAAGTCTTAGTGACTGTGTACAACAGAATAAGCACTGCTTGACCTTGCCCTGTCTTCACAATTTAAGACAAGTGAACCCACTGTCATTGCCACTCTCCCAATCTATTTCATTGAAGGTCATCTTTTTTTCACTGGCTTTATATTAACATGCACGATGGCCTTCCTCAGGAACTGCCCCTTCCTGATAATAAATCCAAAGTTGGTAAGACAAAACCTTGCCATCCTTACTCCTATGGAACACTCTGGCTGCATCTCTTCCAGGATGGATTTGTTTGTTCTGGCAACCTATCATATATATTCAGTTTCCCTCACCACCACCATCATTCAAGGTATCAAGTCTTTGGACTTCCTTTTCATTGCCCACCTTTATATGCATATATGGCAACTGAAAATATCACGGCTTAGGTCAGGCAAACCTTAGTGCTCAAAGTGACATCTTTGCTCTTTAACACTTTAAAGAGGTCCTTTTTTGCCTTATGAATAGATAATCATCCTCTAAAAAAATTCAGACTCTGTCAAGGGGGAAGGAATACTCCTGATGCCAGTAAATCTAAAACAGTCATCTGGAAATGTTCGCTCGCTCTAAACAAGGGCAACAAATAATGTCCACTGCCTGCAGATGGCTTTCCATTTTTAATGCCACTTGTTCTCTGGACAGGGAGCACTGGTGACGTGGCACACACGGAATTACACTGCTCACCCACAGGCGGCACTTCTCTGGCAGTTGGAATCCATCAGAAGCGCCGTGAAAGGAAGACGGGCTATCTCCTTCCTTGAGGAGGATCAGCTATGTGTCACCTCTACTCCTTGGCAATGAGGGTTTGTTTCTTCTCTGTACACGCTGCCTGGCATATACACACAGCTGTGCTGTTTGTGTATTAACTCTCGGAAGGAGAGGCTTCAGCATTCCTTTTCCATTCAATCCTAAATTTACTCCATAAAGCAGGAGTGTAGCTGTGAGGAATGCGTGGCTGATGTGAACAGTTGCCGTTTCACTCCTGCCTGACCTATTTATCGTGTGAGTGAATGCCTGCTGATCACATTATGTACGACAGAATGCAGCTCCACCTGGTCCAACCCGCACACCCTCATAATCCCTGTGTGATTAAGCCCATGGTCGCTGTTATTGTGTCCATCCATCTCCTCAATGGTGTTTCTCTCTTTCACGGATTCTACTTTTCCAAGCATGGTGTCTTTTTCCAAGGACTTCCTGATAGCAGGGCCAAGCGTGTGGCTCTTCAGCCTTGTTTCTAAGGAACAATGCTCTAAGCACTCCCCTTCCTGAATACTCATTTTTATTTTGTTTTCTTTCATTCCCCTTCCCTCTGATTTCCGATCTTTATTTAAGGGTTACCAACCTTAAGGGAGAAGGTGAATTTTGGACCAATATCTTCAAAATTATGTATGAAAGAAGGAACTTTTCCATCCGAAGAAACTTCATAAAAGTTGATACTTGTAGATCTGTTGGAAACAGTAAATCCAAATATGTTAGTTTTGCTGTAGCTTCTGAAATACAATATTTCTTTTCTTTATATACCTAAGCTAGAGCTTAGATTACCAGTAAAATGTTTTCTAGTTAGGCCAAAAGCACTTAATGAAAACAAATGCTCATCATAGGTTTATGATCTCATATACATTTCCAAGGCTTAAATAAATTTATTTCAGAATACATCCAATAATCTTTTTGCTAAAAAAAAAATCTGTGCTATATACTTATCAGCTGTCAAGGTTGAAGTTGTACAGAAGTACAACTGCATTACTTTAGAAATAACAGTGGGACCCCTGCTGTTATGTTGACTAGTGCTTCAAAGATTTGATTTGATGAATGTTTTACTACATGCCCTTAACAGGCCAAAGGGTTTTCAACTCAGGCTAAAATGCAATGATAGTAGTGTTTATGTTTCTGAAATATTCCTTGCTGAGTGTCTGTGAAACAAAGCATATATTTTTTTCCCTTAATATTCACTCTATTCTTTTCTAATTTCATGCTGATCTTAAGCTTTAGGTCTTAATCTATTATTGTTGTTAGGTGGCTTCAAGTTGAAAGTGACTCATAGTTGACCCTCCAGCAGGTTTTCACAGGCTGTAAACCACGTAGAAGGGAAGTGTCCATATTTCTCCTGTAGAGTAGTAGGTGGATTCAAACCAGGTGTCATTGGGTTAGCAGGTCACCTCCTTGCCACTAGGCTACCAGATCTCTCTAAGTCTTAACTTTGTTGTTGGTGTTGTGTACCATTGAGTTTAAACAGACTCATAGCTGTCCCTCCAACAAGATTCCAGAGGCAGTAAATCTCAAGGGAGGAGACTGCCCATCTTTTTCTCACTAAGCAGCTGGTATATTCAAACCACGTCCTTTTGGGTTGGCAGCACAACTCCTTACCACTAAGCCATCAAAACCCTCTTATGTCTTAACTAGGGTGGTCAAGTCTGTTACTATTACTATAGGCCATCTCCCAAGAGGCTGATCTATACATCTAGATCTGTACATAAAGGTTTTACTAGATTAGACTTGGAGATATTGAACTGCTCTTGACCTCTCTACAGGGGATTACCAACTATGGTCGGCAATAAAAGCATAGTTCTTGTTGTATATGGTTGAGTCAAACCCTGCTCACATACCAGCAACTTTTCACAGGTTAAAATATCACAGGGGGAAACTGCCCATTTTCAGCCTGGGGAGCAGCTGGTAGCTTCAAACCACGTGCCTTTAGGTTGGTACAGCACTGCCAACTTACATTACAAGGCAGCTAAAAACTGTGCCTCTGTTCTCACTCCTGTACTGCTGAAACTAGATTACAACAGGACAGTCTCTTCAGGTAGAGGGCTAGGACGTGGAGAAGTGTGAGGCACATGCTTTCCATTGTTCCCGCCAGACAATTAATCTTAGTTAGGAGACAGTGATTCTAGTCCCTAGAACATGAAACCAAGAATTTTTTGAAAGAGTCACTTCATTTCTCTACTGAAACTCCATCTTCCTCTTTCTTATGCCTTTTTAAAAACCTTTTTCTGAACTCTCAAAAAGAAAATATATCACTGGGAGACAAACAGATGTGGTCTTTGTCAAGGTAATTTATTGAGGAAACAATGATTTTCCAGTGTTGTAAGGGACATGGGAAAAATTGACTCAAATGTGAAACAGAAGACCTGCTTGTGCCTAAATTAACTATTCCCTTTCTTTGCCTTCTAAAAGAGCTTGGTGGGAGCCACTGTTGTGGATCGAATTAATTCATTCCCCACCAAGTCTTTTAAATACATGTTGGAAGTTTCATCCCTGTAGTTGTGGGTGAAATCCTGATTGAGAATAAACTTCTCTTTGTTATGTTACTAAGGCCTTCTCAGTGTCAAAAACAAACCAACCAACCCACAAAACCAATGTCTTCCAGTTGGTTCTGACTCATAATGATTGTAAGATTTTGGAGGCTGTAAATCTTACCACTGCAGAGCAACAAGTGGATTTGAACTGGCAACCCTTCGCTTAGCAGCCCAATATGTTATGCACTATGGCATCAGGAGTCGTTTATCAGTGTAGTTGCTATCAAGTCTAGTATGAGCCATAGGGACCCTAAAAGCAACATCGGAAACTTTTCCTATCCCGTGCCATCCATAAAATTTTTAATAAAATATTTGAACTCATCGCTGCGATCACTTTGCCAAGTCATCTGATTGAGGGTCTTCCTCTGTTTCACTGATCCTTTACCTTTCCAAGCCTGATGTCCTTTTCCAAGGAATAGCTGCATCTAGCATGCCCAAAATAGGTGTGATAAAGCCTTAATATCTTTGTCTGCAAAGGACACTCTGGCTGCTCCTTCTCCAAGACATATGTTTGTTCTTCTGGCAGTGCATGCAATATTCAGAACTTTTCTGCAACACCACAGCTCAAAAGCCTCAATTTTTCTAATCTGGTGGCTTAGTGATAAGGAGTCGCACTACCAAACCAAAGGCATGGGGTCTGAATCCACCCACTGTTCTGCAGGAGAAAGACAAGAAATCTCCTGTAATTATTAACTACCTCTGAAAACCTACTGGAGGGTCAGCTATGAGTCAGTTTCAACTCAACAAGACATAATAATAGAACCGTAGTTACTTATACTCAATGAATTTCTGTTTCTGAAATAATTCTACTATCCTGATAAATTTCCACCCAGCATCCTAGAATCTACTCAATTGGTTAGTCTCTTTTCCTTATTGCTGTTGAGTTAGAACTGACTCGTAGTTAACCCTTCAGTGGGTTTTCAGCTGCTGTAAATTGCATGGAAGGAGACTATATGGAAGTAGTCACTGGTAGATTTGAACCATCTGCCTTTGGATTCACAGTGCAACTCCTTACTACAAGACTGCTGTTGCTGTTATGTGCTGTCGAGTCACTTGCAACTCATAGTGACCCTACATGAAGCAGCTCTGAAGCCTGTTCTGTCCTGAGCCAGTCTCACTGACTGCAACTTACCTACCCCCATAAGTCCCAGTTACTGTATCAATCCATCTCATCCAGGGTCTTCCTCTCCTGTGCTGTCCCTCCACCCTTCCAAGCATGATGTCATTCTCCAAGACTGGTCCCTCCTGGGTATGTGCCCAAAGTATGTGAGATGGGGCTTCAAAATCTTAACCTCCAAGAAGAAACTCCCTAAAAGTTTGATAGTACTGTCTTTTGTTGAGGAAAAAGAAAAAAATTAATTTCATTAGGTAAATATCCTGTCAGGGAGCTCTCCAGAATACTGAAGAGCAAGGATATCAGACTAGAGACTAAGGTGTGTCTGATGTAGGCCATGGTCTTTGATATGCACCAGAGAGGTAGAAAATGACTAAGGATGACAAAAGAAGAATCAACTATAACTTGAGTTATAGTTCTGGAGAAGAAAATGGAACATACCATGGACTGCCAAGAGAAGAAACAGGACTGTTCTGGAGTGGGTGAAACCAAGTTGCTCTTTGGAAGCAAGGATTTTGTAGGTTTGTCTGACATACTTTGGGCACGTTGCCAGGATGGACCAGTCCTTGGAGAGGACATCACGCTTGGAAGGGTAGAGGGACAGCGCAGGAGAGGAAGACTCTAGGTGAGATGGATTGACTCAGTAACTGGGGTCATGGGGGTAGATGTGTCAGAGGCAGTGAGATTGGCTCAGGATAGGGTTCAGCCTATTATGCGCAGGGTTACAATGAATTGTAGTTGAATTAATGGCGCATAACAACAACAACGACAAAAATTGCTTTTGTTTTGTTTTTGTTAACATTGTTATAGATTTTTTCCATTTTTTTAATTCACAAAAAATTTTCTTTAAGTATTATTTTTGGCACTGCTTTTGGTAGCTATATTGTTATTGTTAGGTGCTCTCTAGTCGAGTAGACCTCATAACAACCCAATGAAAAGCCAGCCTGAAACCTGCCCTATCTTGTGCCATCCTTATCATCTTTGAGACACTAGAATCCACTGCTGAAGTGAACCCATCACACTGGGATCTTCCTCTCCTTTGCTGACCTTCCATCTTTCCAAGCATAAATCATTCTTCAAGGAATAGCCTTGAAGGATGAAGCTTTGTCATCCTTGTCCCCAAGAACACTCTGGCTGCACCTTTTCCAAGACATATCTGTTTGTTCTTTTGGCAGTCCATGAGATATTTAGTACTTTTCTCCAACACCACAACTCAAAGGCATCAATTCTTTTTCTCTTATCCTTTTTCATTATCCAGCTTTCTGATGTGTAGCAGGCAACTGAGAAGACCAGACTGAACTAGACACACCTTAGTCTTCAAAGTGACATCACTGTTCTTCCTCACTTTGGAGCAATCCCTCACAGCAGACTTGCCCAATTCGATACATCTCCTGATTTCCTGACTGCTGGGACCAATGCGTTGATCATTGATCCAAGCAAGATAAAATCATTAATAGTTTCAGTCTTTTCTCCATCTGTAGTAAAGACTATTGGGCCTGTGGGGAGATTCTTTGTCTTCCTAAAGTTGAGATGTAAACCATATAGCAAATATTTCATATCCTCCTCACTTTCAATGTCAAGAAGACAAAAATTCTCACCACTGGACCAATCGGTAGCATCAGGATGGATGGCGAAGAGATTGAGATTGTTCACAGCTTCAGTTTGCTCGGCTCCACGGTCAACACTCTTGGCACCAAGCAGTCAGGAAATCAAAAAACGTATTGCGATGGGAAAGTCTGCGGTTAGGGACCTCTCTAAAGTACTCAAGAGCAGCGGTGTCTCTCTGGAGACTAAGGTGCGCCTGATACAGGCCATGGTTTTTGCAATCACTTGTTATGCATCAGAGAGTTGGACAATGACTAGGGAGGACAGAAGGAGAATTGACACCTTTGAGTTGTGGTGCTGGAGAAGAGTATTGAATGTACCATGGACTGCCAAGAAAACAAACAGATTCATCCTAGAGAGCGTTAAACCAGGCTGCTCCTTGGAGGCAAGGATTCTGGGGCTTTGTCTGACATACTTTGGGCATGTTGTAAGGAGAGACAGGTCTTTAGAGAGGGACATCATGCTTCAGAGGTTGGAGGGACAATGCCTTCAATGAGGTGGATTGATTCAGTGACTGGGGTAATGTGTGTCAGAGGCAATGAGGTTGGCACAGGATAGAGCACAGTTTAGGGCTGCTGTACATAAGGTCGCTATGAGTAGCAAACGACTCAACGGCACATAACAACAACAACAACCTCACTTTCAGCAAAGTTGTCTAATCAGCATGAAGCAGGTTGTTGATTAATGTTCCTCCAATCCTGATGCTATACACAACTATTTTACTTTTTATATATTTTAAAGAATTTTTAAAAGTCTAAAATTTCTCCCATAATCTAAGTTACTCCCACAAATATACATAGCTGTTTATGAGTGTAAGTAAATTTTCAACTTAATATTATGTCATCCAAGAAAACTGTCATAGTTGGGGAGTGGAATTATAAAAAGGCTGCATTAAAATGCTTGAGATAAAGATTTAATGTGGGTACAGAGAGAATAATCAGGTAATATCAACCTTTTGTGGGGTACATTTGTCTCCTATCACTTATTTTAGCAACTCAGAGTCCTTGGTAGTCAGTCTTTAGTGACTGATGAATTTTTCAGGAGAGCTGTTTGGGGCTGCATTTTGTCTCTGTGCTGTTTGAAAGTAATTCAAGACAGAAGATTTCTTTTCATCATTGTTCATGTGTCTGAAGCTCTGCATATCATAACATTGTTGTGTTTTTGTTTTTGCTCGGTGGTCTGTGGGATGATCTATGTATTCCATAATTTCAGGGGCTAGGGTGATGTGGTAGAAGTTACAATAATCCATGATTTCTAACTAGTTTTTTTGGAAGGCTTCCCTAGGTATTTTTCAAGGATCACTGACCTCTGAGCATTATCAGGTATAGAATGATGGCCCTCAGGCTTGGAGGTGGGGCATCAGGTGCACACCTGTGCCTGGGAACCCACTTCTAAGTGTGAGTTAAGATGATGACAGCAATATATTAGCACCTATGTCACTTACTGTGGAGTCACCTGTGATGATGACAACATATTATATTGTTTTGTTTTTTTATTTAAGCCTCTTGTTTAAAGTCAACCTGATCTTGTGGAGGGCCTCTGTATTTGAAAATTGATTGTTATTATATTTTGGAGGAACATTCTTCCAAGTGGTACAGCACTCTTCTGTCAATTTCCTGTACTGAGGTAACCTGGGGTTGCTGTGATGCTGAACCTTGTGGGGTATTAAATGCCATAACAGTTTCCCATGGTGGACAGTGGCTGGTGGAGCTCCCAGTGTAAGACAGGTTTGGAAGCAGGAGTGGCATCCATTTTCTAAACAGCATGCCTCTGGTAATTATGAACTCTGAGAAATGACGCTAGTTATTTAGTTATTTATAGAAAGGCTTCAGGTCTTATGTTAGTAGGGTTGCTATGAGTTGTGCTTGACTCAATGGCAATCAACAACAGCAACAACATGGCACTAACATGTTACTTATTTGCCAAGACACCTATCCTTCTCAATAACTCCAAATAGCTAGTATCAAACAGCTAACTTTTTTTTTTTTTTTGGTCACTGCTTCTATCTGTTTTTGGTTGGGAGGAAAATGGAAGGAGACATTCCTTCCTAAGTGGAAACATTTGGAAAATCCTTCATTTCATGCTGATTGAAAGGAAACCCCAATCTGTTATGTCAGGAATTTTCCACCTAGAAACTAATATTATGTGATCAGATTCGATATTTCTGTGAACATACTATGTGCAAAGCACTGTGCATGAGGCTTTGGTATTCAGTAACTGGAAAGCTGCGGGAGCTCCCCTGTGAATCATTGGCAGGAAAGAGCAAGACGAAACTATGGGCCGCTTTTCAGGACCCTACAAGTTCTCTGTTACATCTTGAGAATTTTCACAGCTCCTCAGAGGCCCTAGTTTTCTCTTCTATGTAGAAGATGAGTTATTTCTCTGCTCTTCTAATGCTACTCTCACTCAGGAAACCCATAGAGTTGTTCAGTTTGCCAGGGGCCAATCCCTTCAACTTGACATTGGAAAATAAGGTTAATGAAAAGATTTCATTTAAGAAGGAAATTCTAAGCCACTACCATACAATCAACCCTGACTCAAGATGGCCCCATGTGTGTTAGAGTAGAACTGTGCTCCAGATGGTTTTCAGTGCTTGGTTTTACAAAACTAAGTCACTAGGCCTTTCTTCTAAAGCATCTTGGTTTGGACTCAAACCACTGACCTTTTGGTTAGTAGCTGAGCATACAAACTGCTCCATCAAGAGACTCAAAGAATAAGCACATTGAGGGCCTCTTTAATTACAGGCAGTAATGTTACAAATTACAGTGTCACAGTGGTAATAATCTATCCACTTTTCCCCTTACCTTGTTAAGTGAATTTCAGCATCATACAGAAGAGAAATTTTGAAGGAGACCAAATTATCGGCATTATTTTCCTCAACGCTTTCACTATTGAAGAGAACATTAGAGCGTTACTTAAGAATATAAAAGCCCATCATCACTACCTTATGATATCATTATATCTTACCTTAAGGCTTGGAAATTAACAGATGCCTGGTTCTCAGGGTTTTGAAGATTGAAGTCGAAGTTAACTGTGAAAGTCACCTATACATGAAACAGAAGTTTATCAATCAGAAGCCAATATTTTTTTAAAAATTCAAAAAATCTCATAAAAATAAACATGGCTTCAAATTTATCGTGAATTTGCCAAGCTTTATTTTTTCACATGTGTCTAAGATATCCTTCACCCTAACTTAACAACCCTTATGTGGAACTGGGTGATTAAGAAGTCCTAACTTTGAACAGATATACAGAGGCACACACATCTGTTTCCGTCTGAAAGCTCTGCGTTGATTTAAACTTGATTAGCAGAGCTTAACAAATGCTATGGTTTCCTGAACAGTATTAATCAAAATTCACTGCCACTCAGTCAATTTTGACTCAGTGAAACTCTGCTGGGCTTTTTCCATGGCTGTAAATCTTAACAAAAGGAGACTTTCTATCTTTCTCCCTTGGAGCTGCTGGTGGACGCGAACCACAGAAGATGGGTGGCTTTTTAATTAGCAGTACAATATGTCTACAGACTAAGTCACCAGAGTTCCAAATATTGTTCAAGACTTTGCAAATGAAGAATTCTCCAGATCATGTGTCGTTTATAGAATGAACTGCATGGTAGGGAAGAGAATTCAACTTTTATCAGTAATGTAAAATACAAATTCATAACTGATAGTTCATAATTCACTAAATAATCTCTCCTAAACATGAAGCCAGTTATTTTGCGATGCTTAAAAATGTTTGGTGAGTTAACAGTACTGCTGAAGAAGGATAAGCATGAATTTGAGGTCAAGATGCATATTGTACCTCTTGTCCCCTCTTTAAAGCAGGGTAGCCTACATTGCAGGTAACGGAGTTCTGAGATGAATCAACTTGGCATGTGACTTCCGTCCCATCAATCTGAAGCAGACCAAGAAAACAACAATGGTCAATTAGCATATAACAGGTGCGTGTTCACACTTACATGCTGAAAGCTGTAAACCATAGATGCATTTCCAGAACGGCTGCCTCATGCTAACATCATTTATTGCCCAATAAGAATCAAAGACAATGCTGTCCAGTTGGCTACAATACTATTTTTATGGCTAGCCCTAAAGAAATGATGAAAGTTTTACAAGTGTTCAGGTCTTTCATTCATAGGGTCGCTATGAGTTGTCTACAACTCGATGACACTTAACAACAACACAAGAGCCCTAAAGATAAACACCCAACAAAATGAAACAAAAAAGTAAAAAGGTCAAATAAGAAACAGGTCCTCATAATTTTTACAGTGCAGAAGCACAAAGAGCTTTAATCCAATATTCAGAAACCCTGACGTGAACATGTGTTCTCATATATTTGCAACTTGTATTTTTCAGAGGAAGAAAATAAAACCATATGATGGTACTCATCCATCTTTGAAATTGTGTTAAAATCCTTTCTAGCTTACCTTACGTTATTTTCCCCACCGTAAAATAAACACTTTCTTCTTGGCAGGGACAATTTAAACGCTGAAGTCAGAGGAGGTTTAGAATTCTAAATTCCTATTAAGTTCATATAAATAGATGAGACTAATTTCACCAAGAGGCTCATCTGGTTGGGGGGGGGGGAATCCCAAACCAACAATACACAAATGTCTTCTTTTGCTTCAGTTTTCTCTGCATTGCTAGTGGCAGAGGTGAGGCCAGGGGTATTCCTGGTCAAATGTGTTCCTGGTATAGTGATCAAGCAAATATGATGAACTGGCTTCGCTGGAATGCAGTATCTTGGCAGAGAGAGACCTGCGCTCGCAAAGCTGGGGCTAAGCCGGGACTCAAATATCTCTGAGCAAGTGCAGCCCAGAGCATTTGTGCACCCCACACTATGCACTGATGGATAGAGGGGGTGACCAGAGTGTCTAGCTACTGCTGCCAAGTCTTCTGGTAAAGGAAAAACTGACCCAAACTATGAATTGGAATTGGTCTAGATACAGAGCCAGAATGTGTTCTCATGTGGTTTAATGAGTTGGAAGTCACAAAGTTAGGACTGATCCTGATTAAGGTTGAAGTACTCCTTCAGACAATGCAGAGGACACATCCAAGCAGTCCCTGGGTTATGAATGTTCTATTACAGACAGCTCCTACTTGCCTTTGTTATTGTTTGGTACCACCTAGCCTGATCAGAGTCATAGCAACCATATGTACAATAATGTCCAAATCTGTGCCATCTTAAAAATTTATTCACCCCATTGTTGCAACCACTGTGTAAATACTCTCTTCTAAAAAAACAAAACACAAAACCCTCCAAAAAAATACCAATACAACTTTCTGCTTCTTCTTCTCTTGCACTGGGCAATAGGGCAAGTCTACTGTCAAGGACTTCTCCAAAATGCTGAAGAGCAATGATGTCAGTTTGAAGACTAAGGTGCTCTGGATTCAGGCCATAGGCTATCAATCACCTGCTACACATCAGAGAGATGGATAAAGAATAAGGACGAAAGAAGAGGAATTGAATTTTGGTGTTAGGGAAGAATAGTGAATATCCCAATGGACTGTCAACAAACAAACAAATAGGTCTTAGAAAAGGTGCAGCCAGAGTGCTTCTTGGAGGTGAAGATGACAAAGATTTGTCTTTCATATTTTGGACAGAAGAATGCCTATCTGTGCTTCATTGATTATGCAAAGGCATTTGACTGCATGGATCATAACAAACTGTGGCTGACTCTGAGAAGAATGGGAATCCCAGAACATTTAATCGTGCTAATACGAAACCTATACTTTGACCAAGAGGCAGTCATCAGAACAGAGAAGGGCAACACTGCATGGTTCAAAATTGGGAAGGGTGTACGTCAGGGATGTGTCCTGTCTCCATACCTTTTCAACCTGTATGCAGAGCAGATTATCCGAGAGGCGGGGCTCTATGAGGAGAGGCGTGGCGTTAGGATTGGTGGACGATCTATCAACAATCTGCGTTATGCAGATGACACAACCTTGCTCGCTGAAACTGAGGAGGACCTCATGCACTTGCTGCAGAGGGTCAAGGACTGCAGCCTTCAATATGGACTGAGGCTCAATGTCACGAAGACAAAAATTCTCACCACTGGACCAACTGATAGCATCAGGATGGATGGCGAAGAGATTGAGATTGTTCACAGCTTCAGTTTGCTCGGCTCCACGGTCAACACTCTTGGCACCAGTAGCCAAGAAATCAAAAAACGTATTGTGATGGCAAAGTCTGTGGTTAGGGACCTCTCCAAAATACTCAAGAGCAACAGTGTCTCTCTGGAGACTAAGGTGCGCCTGATACAGGCCATGGTTTTTGCATTCACTTGTTATGCATCAGAGAGTTGGACAATGACTAGGGAGGTTAGAAGGAGAATTGACGTCTTTGAGCTGTGGTGCTGGAGAAGAGTATTGAATGTACCATGAACTGCCAAGAAAACAAACAGATTCATCGTAGAGAGGATTAAACCAGGCTGCTCCTTGGAGGCAAGGATTCTGGGGCTTCACCTGACATATTTTGGACATGTTGTAAGGAGAGACAGGTCTTTAGAGAGGGACATCATGCTGGGTAGAGTAGAGGGACAGCGCAGGAGGGGAAGACCCTCTATGAGGTAGATTGATTCAGTGACTGGGGTACTCGGGATGGGTGTGTCAGAGGCAATGAGGTTGGCACAGGATAGAGCACGGTTTAGGGCTGTTGTACATAGGGTCGCTATGAGTCACAGACGACTCGACGGCACATAACAACAACAATAACAGCTAGGCAAGGCTCTTTCTTGGAGAGGGACATTGTGCTTGGAAAGATGGAACGTCACTGAAGGATAGGAAGACTCGTAATGAGATGGATTGACATGGTCACTTCAGCAATGGGATATAGTGTGTCAGAGATGATACATGATAGATCAGTGTTCAGGTCAGCTGTTCATAGGATCATTATGAGTCATACTTGACACAATAGTACTTAACAACAACAGCTATTACTTTACAAACCATGGTGTCTTTCTTTAGCACTGATTCTTTATGATATTTTACTGATGATAGCCCACCATTCTTGTTTTCTGGTCACACTTTTTCTAAGGCAGATTTGTTTGTTCTGTTGGTAGTCTATGGTATAATCAATCCCTTTTGCCAACACCACAGTTCAAAACCATCACTTCTTTGCAATCTTGTTTATTCACTGTCAAATTTTCACATGCATATGAAACAACTGAAAAGACCATGGCTTAGATCAGGTGCACCTTACTTTTTAAAGTGACACCTTTGTTTTTTAGAAATTAAAAGAGGTCCTTGACCACAAATTTGCCCCTTGTATTATATTGTTTGATTTTATGACTCCTGTTTCCATAAGTATTGACTGTGCGTCCAAATTAAATTAAATTCTTAACAACTGGATCCTTTTCTCTGTTTATCATGACACTGTTTATTCATACGGTTATGAGGATCTTTGTTCTTCTTCTGTTCATGTTGAAGACTTTTGAGCTTCATTAGTGAATGTGTCAAATCTTCATTAACAGCAAGAAAGATTGTGTCATATGCATATTGCTGATTGTTGATGAGCCTTCCTCTGATACTGAGGCAATATTTTTTTGCATATTGATGTTATGCAAATTTAACTTTGCTTTGAAATGATTCAGACTCAAGCAAAAACAAAAACAAAACCAACACCCCCCCAAAAAACCCCACAACAAACAAACCATAAAAAATCCACTGCTGTCCAGATGATTCCAACTTGAAGCAAACTTGTTGTTGTGTGCCATCAGATCAACAGAGCAGAACTGCCACAAGGATTTCTGATAATCTTTATGGGCACAGTTTCATCTCTCTCTGCTTGACATCCAAAAGGTTTGAACTGTTGACCTTATTTGGGTTAGCAGCTGAATTCTTTAACCAAGGTGTAATAAGTCACTCATCATAATCACCTTCACTTGCTTCAAGTGCAACTTGTGTATCACTGAAAAGGCTCCGAGTCTGTTGCACTAAAACTCAAAAGCAAACCCACTGCCATCAAGTGGACTCCAACTCACAATAACTTGATAGAAAAGAGAAGCACTGTACTGATTTTCCAAGGCTGTAATCTTTGTGGAAGTAGATTGACTTATCTTTATCCCTTGAATTGTCTGCTGGATTTGAACTAATGACCATGTAGTTAGCACCACAATGATTAATGTACTGCACCAACTACGCTCCTTTTCTTGTAAGGCTAGGTAAGAACCATATGCACCTATTCTGACCTGCCTATGATTCGTAAAGACAACATTAGGAATGAATCTCGTCCATGCAGGAAACAACATGATGTAAGCACGTACCGGCATGGAAGAGGAAGCAAAAAATAAGTTTTCTGAAAAGGCAGCAACAATTCTCGTGTTGTATGCATTTTCCTGTTTGTTTTTCAGCATTACTGAAAATGTTAACCTTTTCTTTTGGTTGCTGACAATGAAGGGTTGTTTTCTGTTAAAAGTGAAAAAGAGACAAAAAGAAGAGAAATAATATTAGACGGGGAGGTATTTAAAAAAAAACACTCACTGAAAAAGGAACTTTCAAAAATTATTTAAAATGATAAGAGAACTTCTTAATAATAAAGCGTTAAGATTATAACACTAAACTCCTTGTCATCAAGTGAGAGTTGACTCATAGAAAATCTTCCATTTGGTTGCAGAAGCTGCAAATCCCATGGGAGGAGACTGTCCATCTCTCCCCTGAAGAGACTCTGGTGGATTTGAACTGCCAGAGAATTGATGTCTTTGGGTAGCAGTGATTCTCCCTATTGATTACACCACCAGGAGGGCCTATGAAGAATATGTTCTGACAATAAAGAATTATTGTTTTATTTCTTTTCTTTCCTATAATTTCTAAATATATTGCTGTCAAAGTATCCATTGCAGTAAAAATGATTGTATAGTTCTTATTGTTTCATATCATGGTAGAAATTGAAATTTAACTTAAAGTATTTGCTAGTTATAAGGATTCCTCAGTGTAAGAGATCTCATCTGAAGAAAGTCACTTAGTGTGGCTCTTATTTCTACATTGGACACTGAGCTTCACAGCAATGAAACTTACTGGTCAGCTGGCAGCTGCTGAACGTTTAGAACTAGATCAGAGATGCAGAGGCCATCATCCCCACAATCCTTGTGGAAAGGAATCTGGGGAAAGAGGAAAAAATAAAAACAAAATTAAAAAAAAACCACAAAATACCAAACAACCTTATACACACACACACACACACACACATACACACACTCACACACACACATACACATTAGCTCTGGGATAAAAACAAACAAAAAACCTAGTTGCAAAAAAGAAAATAATTTCTTCTTACATACCCTTTACATAAAGTTAAAAAGACATGCAACATTAAACTATATTTTCAGCATACCTGCTTGTATGGCAAAAACATGAAGAAAAGCAGGGGAATGGTAAGTTCAAACTCCAACACTGAATTCCTTTTAGGGCAGGAGTGTGAAGACAAATGCAATGGCAAGGAAGGGCACATTAGGCGTTGACCATATTTGAATGTTTTTTCAAGTGGATGTTGAGCACAAGATGTTGGCTTCATTGTCATGGATTTATTCAATAAATAGTTCCCAGATGCCTACAGTAGGCCAGGCACCATGCTAGAGGCTGGGAACAGAACTGTGGACAAGAAAGATAAAAGCCCTCCTGCCTTCACGGAGGTACCTGCTAATGACTCTTGTATGAATGTATGAATTGTATGAATGTAACTATCTTGCTTGAATTAAAAAATTATGAATTCAAGGGCTACATCCTAAGTATCCTTCCAGCCTTACTGCCGTGTCTGTGGCACTTCATCAGCCCGTCTAAAATGTAGAAAGGCAAATGGAACTCACACTGAAGATGCTGGTGGTCTCAGAATAGGCTTCGAGGGCAGGACTGGAGCCAGGATTCTCCAGACTGATGTTCACACGCAGATCTAGAGGGCTGACAACATCCGAGGGTTCCTAGGCACATATGCACACACAGCATTGATCCAGGTGTGGCAAATTCAAGATAAGAAAATGACCATACATATGTGTCAGCTCTCCATCACATAAAGCATACAAATCCTGAATCATCAATAAGACACTTGCTTCATTTTTATTTCTTCCTCCTTCCGTGTGATTAACTGACTCAGAAAATCTGCTGGAGGGTTGGCTATGGGTTGGTTCCAACTCGACGGTACACAACAACTATAACAAAGGTGAAGTTTCTCCAGAAAACTTGAGGTCTTAGTTGTTAGTTAAGCTCATCAAGACAGTCATTACATACACACAAGTGATTTGTAAACATCTGCATGGTATCTTTAGGTTCAATACTCTGAAACTACCTCATCTAAAAAATAAAAACAAAAACAACCCAACCAAAACAAAAAACACAAAATATTAATCAAAAATTCTGGTTGCCATTGAAATTATCCCAACTAACTCAAGACAACCCATGTGTTATACTGTAGAACTGCTCCATCATAGGGTTTTGTTGACTGTAATTTTTATGGAAACAACTTGGCAGGCTTTTTTTCTCAGGTTCATACTGCCATCCTTAATATTAATGGACAAACAAGAAAAATCTGAGCCAAATTTTTAAAGGGCTGTCCTTGTGTTGTTTTCTTTGCTGTTGAGTTGCTTGTGACTCATAGTGACCCTCCGTACAACAGCTGTGAAACCTGCTCTGATCTTGAGTCAATTTCTTTGACCCCAGTCACTGAGTCAATCCATCTCATACAGGGTCTTCCTCTCCTGTGCTGTGCCTGTGTCATTTTGAATATGATGTCCCTCTCTAATGAATGGTCCCTCCTGGCAACATGCCCAAAGAACGTGAGATGGAGCTTCAAACACCTTGCCTCCAGGGAGCAACTGGGTTTCACCGTCTCCAGGACAGACTTGTTTATTCTTTTAGCAGTTCATAGTATGTTCAATACTCTTCTCGATCACCACAACCCAAAGGCATTCATTATTCTTCTATCATCCTGAGTTATTGTCCAGCTTTCTGATTCATAGTAATTGTGAAGACCATACTTGGATCATGTGCACCTTAGTCTCTGGACTGACATTATTGCTCTTCAGCACTCTGGAAAAGATCCTGACAGCAGATTTTCCCTATTTAATTCATCTTTTGATTTCCTGACTGATAGTACCAAAAGTATTGATTGTGGAACCAAGCAAGCTGAAGTTGTTAATCTCAATCTCTTCTCTGTCTATCATGATGCTGCCATTAGGCCTAGTGGTGAGAATTTTTGTTGTTGTTTTTTTTACTTTTTTATACTAGTGGCTGACTCTGAGAAGAATGAGAATCCCAGAACACTTGATCATGCTAATAAGAAACTTGGACCAAGAGGCAGTCATCAGAACAGAGCAAGGAAACACTACATGTTCAAAATTGGGAAGGATATACGCCAGGGATGTGTCCTGTCTCCACACCTCTTCAACCTGTACGCAGAACAGATTATTCAGGAGGCTGGGCTCTATGAGAAGAAATGTGGGGTCAAGATTGGTGGAAGATCTATCAACAATCTGCGTTATGCAGATGACACAACCCTGCTTGCTGAAACTGAGGAGGATCTGAAGCACCTGCTGCGGAGGGCCAAGGATTGTAGCCTTCAACATGGATTGAGGCTCAATGCCAAGAAGACAAAGATTCTCACCACCGGATCAATTGGCAGAGTCAGGATGGATGGTGAAGAGATTGAGATTGTTCATATCTTTAGTTTGCTTGGCTCCACAGTCACCGTAGCCAGGAAATTAGAAGAGGTATTGATGGGAAAGTGCTGTTAGGGACCTCTCCAAACTGAATAGGGACCTCTCCAAACTGAACAGCAGTGGTGTCTCTCTGGAGATTAAGGTGTGTCTGATACACCTGATAGCAAAGGCCATGGTCTTTGCTATCACTTGTTATGCATCAGAGAGTTGGAGAATGATTAAGGAAGATAGAAGGAGAATTTATGCCTTTGAGCTGTGGTGCTGGAGAAGAGTATTGAGGGTACCATGAACTGCTAGGAAAACAGACAGATTCATCCTGGAAAGGGTCAAACCGGGTGGCTCCTTGGAGGCAAGGATTCTGAGGCTCTGTGTGGTATACTTTGGACATGTTGTAAGGAGGGACCAGTCCTTGGAGAGGGACATCATGCTTGGTAGAGTAGAGGCACAGCGCAGCAGGGGAAGGCCCTCTATGAGGTGGATTGATTCAGTGACTGGGATAATCAGGATGAGAGTGTCAGAGACAGTGCAATTGGCACAGGATAGAATAGAGTTTAGGGCTGTTGTACACAGGGTCACTATGAGTCGCAAACGACTTGATGGCACATAACAACAGCAGTTTATTTACAAAATTCAGATACATTATTTTCCAGAACAGAGTCTTCCAATTTCCCTCACCCCTTTACCCATCAAATTGTACAACCCCATGATTAATCCCTTTCTCCTTTTCTTGATATGCTAGGTAGGTCTGCCTATATCAAACCCTGTCCTTCTGATTCCTACTGCAAGGCCTTAAAAGTCTTGCCCAAAATCTGAAAAGGAAGATCTGTGACCAGGAATGGAATAAGCCCAGATCTGAGCATCAGAAAGACTCCCTTCCTCAGTCAGAATCTACCATTTCTCTTCAAAATCAGTTAAAGAGGTTCTACTGTTCTAAGATGGACTTCTCCAACTTTTTGTTACAGCTGTACTACACTCTTATATGAAACAATGCATGTTTCACTCAGCACTTATCAAAGCCAGCTTGATTCGGTTATAAAATCCACATATCAATTTTGCTGTCAGTATGAGGACAGGGGGTTTGTGGCCTCCCTTAGGCCAGGAGCGGTCTAAGCCACTTCCAATTTGCGGTTCTTTGTCTTCTATTAAGAAGTTTTGTAACTGTGTACTATCAACTGGAACCAACCCATAACTGACCCTCCAGTGGATTTTAAAAGGGAGCAAATTGCATGGGAGGAGATTGTCTACCTTTCTCCTGAGGAGCAGCTGGTGGATTCAAACTACAGAACTTTAAGCTGGTAGAGTAATTCCTTGCCACTAAGCCACCAGAGCTTCCTTTAAGAGTATGCAAATGCCCAAATAAAGTTTCAGAACTTATTAAGCAGTTCTCTCACAAGCATCTTCAATTTTCTTGTCAACAAAGTCATTTGTCATACAAAAGAGCAAGCATAGTTAAACTCTGGTCATTTTCTGACAAGCTGTAGCTTCATTATCATTTAGTACATAGAAACCACTTACTACTGAGTCCTGAGTTCTTATGGGCCCTGGAGTAACAAGGGCACAATGATCAATGCATTTGACTGTTAAGTGAAACGGTGGTTGTTTGAGTTCATTTGGTGGCACCTTCAGAGAAAGGTATTCTGATTTTTTTCTGAAAATCAGCCGTTGAAAACCTGTGGAGTTCGATCTGGAGGCACATGAGTCCCCTGAGGTCAGAACTAACTCACTATCGGCTGGCAAGTTGTTGCTTTTTAGAGGTGCTTCTGGATTATAAAAAAATGTCTCCTAAACTGGCCATGTGGTTAGCAGATATAAAGGACTTTAACTAGCTTTGGTTAACAAATGTGATCTACTCACGGAAACAGTTCTTTTTTGGCTAACCAAAATAACACATGCCTTCTAAAGGTATCATATATATACATGAGAAACTAAAAGCCCAAACCTCTTGCTGTCATACTGAACCCAATTCACAGCGATCCCACTCATAAGACAGAGTAGAACTGCACAGGCTTCAAAGGCCTGGCGACATAGCACGCAATATGTTGTGCCGCAAGCTGAAAGGTTGGTGGTTCGCATCCACCAGCTTCACTGTGGGAGAAAGATGAAGCCCATAGGCTGTACAGTCTCAGAACCCAGAGGAGGCCCATCATTAGCTGGAATCAACTGCATGCCAGTAGGAGGGGTAATCATTACAGGAGCTGACTGCCACATCTCCCGACTTAGAAGCAGTCTAGCATTTAAATACTGTGCCAGGGCTCCTTACACACATGAGAATGAGCAGGGCTCTTTTTTCAAGTGGTCTGACTATCTTTGTTCTTCCCATAAAGGGGTATGTGTGTAGTTTGAGCCATTCCTTGGCAAAAAATGGAGAGAACGAAAGCAGTTTCACCCTCTTTGCAGAGTCTGAATAATTAGCATTTAAGCACCACAGAAGTAGCCCACATCTTCACAAGTAGGAAGCCTTCAAATTTAACATATTTGAGACAATATAACTAGTTTGAATTTAACTATAGACTCCATGTTTTTCCTACTTACAATGAATATTTTCTCCAAATGTGAGCTTTGTCTCATCTACATTAGAACCCTCTTGATGTGCTCATAAAGCATGCCACTCCTGACCTTCTAACCCGACTCTCTGGCATTTGAGGTCAAGGAAATGCATTTTATTACCATTTCCTTGGGAACTCTTACGCACTTTAATCTCCGAGAACCCCTGCACCAAATTATTCCGGGCTAGTATTTAAACAGCACTTCTTAAATTATACATTCAAATTCCATTATGTGGTTTCAAAGGATGAAATTTCATACATACTTATAAAATACATTTCCTTTTGGAGGTTTTCTCCTGAGAAGCATCTTTCATACATGGGAGAATTCAAAACACCATGTGAATTATAGCAATTACTCCTTCAGATTAGAATAAATACTTTCTATCTCATAATTCCCCATCCTGCATCTGTACCACTTTAAATCCAGCAGTGGGAAACATAATTGGAACTGCCCTTTGAAGTGCCTTAAAAAGGAATAAAAACGTTCCTAGATAGGAAAATGGCAAAATAAAATTTATTGCCTTTTGAACGTTCTCTCCAATAAACATTTAAGAAAGATGTGTGTCTCCAACTCCTATAAGAATTTTATTTTCACTTCTCTCAGTTTCAATCCCAAATAAAGTTTGCTATTGCCGCATGATATAATCTATAAGTTTATCATAAACATTAACATAAAGGAAAATGTTTCATTTTATTGGAACTAGGCAAGGAAGGACTGAATTAGAATTAATTAAAATGGCAAGCACTTTCTTCCCTGTAAATTCCATATTTTTCCTTTCACCATTCTTTTTTTTTTGTCAGTCATTATATCTTAACCAAGAAGAAACCAGGTGGAAAGGGATGACTTTGTGGGCTCACCTGTACATTGATGGTGTGCTCAGAGCAGCTTTTCATATGCCTAACTACCATGTTCTTCTGCAGGAACCTTTCATTATTTTCTCTAAATAATCCCCTGGAGGTTACTCTGGATGAAAACCGATCTGCATCAAGGGTAATGTTATATGTAATAACTGCAGGGGGGAAAAATCATACAGAAGTATCATTACAGATGAACATTTAAGGAAAAAGCATTTCACTTTATTGTCTTTTTGGGAACAAGAAGTTTCTGAAATAGATAAAAACAAAAGACAAAATGTATTTTTCCCTTGGTGGTTTTTGAACCATGAAGAGAACCACTTTCTGTTTCATTCCCATGAAGCGAGAACTGACTCATAGTTGACCCTATGGCAGGTCTCGTAGGCTGTAAATCACATAGGAGAAAATTGCTTGTCTTTCTCCTTTGTAGTTACAAATCCTTTGTGGATTTGAACTACCAGAGAGGTGGGACTTTGGGTTAGCAGTGCCACTCTCTAATGACTAGGCCAACAGAGATTGCAAATACAAAGAAATGTGATCCAAACATGCATGTCTTATAGAAATAGAAAGAAAGCGATCTGGTCATCAGAAAACGTACTGATTGTCTCAGTTTTCTGTAGGTCAATGTCCAATTTTGTCAGCACCATTTGTTTAAGAGGTTATAATTTCCATATTTAATAGGTTTTGATTCCTTGTTGAATACTAACTGACTGTAGATAGATGTGTTATTTTCTGGGTTCTCAAATCTATCCCATTGGTCTGAGTGTCTGCCACTCGACCAGTAACCATGCTGTTTCAGTTACTATGGCTGTGTAGTAGGTTTGAGTGCTATGCCTCCCACTTTATCTTTTATTTTCCAGAAGAGTTTTGCTTATTTAGGGCCTATTTATTTTCCAAATAAACTTTCTAAACGCCTTTTCTATCTCTTTGAAAAAGGAATTTGGTGTCTATATTGGGATTGTGCTAAATATCAGCAGGCAAAAAACTGAAACAAGATCCACATCTCACACTCTACACAAAAATCAACTCAGGGTCTAGATCAGAGACTCTGAAATAAATAGGCTTGCAAATATAACCAGAAATGTACAACAAAGTGAAGGAAAAATCAATGAATGGGATCTTTTAAAAATTAAGTCCCTGTGTGTATCAAAATCTCTTTCCACAAAAGAACGGGTTGAGACTTTATGGCACATTCACACAAAGGAATACTGTGCAGCACACAAGAGCAATGATTTTATAAGTTACTACCTAACTTGGGAAGGACTGGAGAGCATTATGCTGAGTGAACTAACTCAGTACCACAAGGACAAATATTGTATAAAACCATTATTGTAGAACAAGAATGAGGATCCAAAGGGGGGGGGGAGAGTAGAAGCAGAGGGATGAGGATATGAGTAGGAGAGAGGGATTAATCATGGGGTTGATGGGGGAGGTGAGGAAAATTGGAAGAATCTGGTCTAGAAAACAATGTATTCAAATTTTGTAAATAAACTGATATAATAAAAACAACAACAACAACACCTTTTTCCCAATAGATTGACCTTACAGACTGGAGGGGGGGAAAACCCCAATAATATTTGCCAATGACATTTCAGACAGGAGTCTCATAATGAAAATTTACAGAATACTACAGGGCTTCCACAAGGAAAAGACTCAATTACAAGACATGACAAGATTCTTCACAAGGGAGGACATTCAGATGATCAGCATATTAAATGCTCAAAACCACTGGCAATCAGAAAGATCCAAATCAAAACAGCAAGATAATCATCTCACCCTAGTAGCAGTAGTAAAGGTTAGCAGGAGAGCCAGCCATAAATGCTAGAGAGGATGTGGGGAGGTCGACAATCTCATGCACTGCTAATGTAGTTGTAAAATTATACAACCGTTGTTGAAGTCAGTTTGGCATTTCCTAAAACAGCTGACCATAGAAATCCCATTTGACCCAACTATTGGACAGCAAAGAATATATCCCAAGGAAATGAGGACAGAGAAGTGAATGGAGAGATGTGCATATTTAGTAGCAGCATTAATTACAATAGCAAGAATATGAAAATAGTCAAAATGCTCATCAACAAATTAATGGCTTGAGAAATTGCAGTACATTCCCATAATGGAACATAATAAAGCACCAAGGGGCAACATACAATACTATGAAACATGGGAGGGAGAGTCTAGAGACCATTATGCTGAGTGAACTAAACATATTTCATAAGGACAAATACTGCATAAAACCATTATTGTAAAAACAGAAGGATAACTAGTAAGATGTGTATGTTGTGTATTGTTATGTGCCATCGAGTTGCTTGCTACTCATGGTAACCCTATGGACAAGAGCCCTAAACCCTGCTCTGTCCTGTGCCAACTTCACTGTATCTGACACAGATGGTGGATAACCCCTTGAAGTATGACAAAAGAAATACGGTGAAAAAAAAAAAGTCCAGAAGATGCACGAGACTATCTGACCACTTAGTCTTTTCTTTTTTTTTTTTAGTAACTACAATATTTAAAATTGGTCTTCAATATGGTTTGATCTCAATATCAAGTAAAGAAATCCACCAGATGCTCTTCCGGGGAAGGAGGGGCAATCTCCTCCTGTACCAGTCAGATCTGATTTGACGGTACACGCACACAAAAATAATAAAATAAAAAAAAATAAAAAAAAAAATAAAAAAAATATCAAGTAAAGAAAAATTCTCTCCAATGGACAGATATAGTTAACTATGGACTAAGATAGTCAATTAAGATAGATGGAGAAAAGATTACAACTACTTATTCCACAGTTAATACACTTAGTGCCAGCAGTCAGGGGGTCAGGAGACATATTGCACTGGGAAAGTCTGCAGTCAGGGACTGCTCCAAATTCTAGAGCAACAATGATGTCAGTTTGAGGACTAAGTTGCTTCTGATTCAGCCCATTGTCTTTCCTGTCACTTGTTATGCATCTGAGGGCTGGACAATGAATAAGGATGACAGAAGAATTAATGTCTTTGAATTGTGGTGTTGGAAAAGAATACTAAATGAATTGACAAAAGAACAAACAAAAATGTATCAAGAAGGTGCAGCCAGAGTGCTCCTCAGAGGGAAAGATGATAATCATCTCACATACTCTGGTCATGTGCCTAGGAGAAGCTCTTCCCTAGAGAGGGACATAATACTTGAGAAAGCAGAGGGACGGTGAAAGAAAGAAATACCTTCAACCAGGTGGACTGACAGTGACTACAGCAACAGGATCAAGTGTGTCCGTGGTTGTGAAGATCGCACAGGTAAGAAAGAGTGCAGAGCTATTGTGTCTATGGGCACTACAAGTAGTACTCGAGTCAATGGCACCCAACAATAGCAACTATATTTTCAGAGTTAATCTTTTGGGTCTACTAGCCATTTAATGCTTACACATCTATGGTTTGGTTTATTGGTTTGGTTATTTTTTATCATGGCTAATCAAGCAAATGATATACAATTCAATTTTATGAAACATGCCACTCAAAGTTGGGGCAATGTTTGAACATCTGCAGTGAAAATTTCTAGGTAGATATGAAAAGTGAGTTAATATTAAAAGCATGCCAAGATGTGATTTTAACAATTTGTATTTTTGACTTACTTAGGTCATAATACGTGCTCGTGTTGGCAGCACATATATGAAAACTGGAATGATACAGAGATTAGCATGGCCCTTGTGTGAAGCATTCCATGTTTATATTCAGTGGCTGAGGTAATGGGGTTAAGTGTGTCAGAGATAATAAAAATGGCACATGATAGAGCAGAGTTTAGGGCTGTTGTACACAGGGTCGCTATGAGTCCCAGGAGGCTCAACAGTAGGTAACAACAACAGGTCATGATAAATACCATTTCTCAGTACTTTTTGGTCTTTAAATTAATAAAGTTTACAGTCCACATATGTGAGAAGGATGTTAAGAACCATGACAAAGTAGCAAATGAAAAGAGGTAGCTTAATCACCTTTAAGTTTGTCATACTGAGTTGGCTTGCATGTTGCTATGATCCTGAAAGCTGCACTATTTGTATTCAAATATGAGCAGGGTCATCCATGGTGGAAAAGTTATGGTGGAGTTATTGTATGTGTTGCTGTTGTTATGTGCCTTCGAGTCTCCTGTGATTCATAGCGATCCTGTGTATAATAACCCTGACCTGAGCCAGTCTCCTTGACTCCAACACACCTACTCTCATTGCCCTAGTCACTGTATCAATCCATTTCATCAAGAATCTTCCTCTTCTGCATTGTACCTTCACTCTTCTGAGCATGATGTCCTTTCTCCAAGGATCAGTCCCTCCTGGCCACATGCCCAAAATATATAAGATAGAGCTTCAAAATCATAGCCTACAATGAGAAACTTGGCTTCACTCTCTCCAAGACAAACCTATTTATTTTCTTGGTGGTCCATGGTATGTTCAAGACTCTTCTCCAGCACCACAACTTAAAGGCATCAATTCTTTTACTATCATCCTTAGTCATTATCCAGCTCTCTGATGCACAGTAAGTAATTGTGAAGACCATGGACTGGATCAGGCACACCTTAGTCTCTAGAATGACACTGTTGCTTCTCAGTACTCTGGAAAGGTCCCTGAGAGCAGATTTACCTAATGCAATTTGTCTTTTGATTTTTTGATTGCTGGTGCCCAGAGTGTTACAGTCCTATATTTTATACACATGGGGTCATCCTGAATCATTCAACTTGTTACAGGTTTCTAGAGCTGTTCCTGACTATAATAAAGTGTTTTCAAATCTGTCTGCAAAGCTAGTATATATGATAGACATAAACTTGCTCAGATAACAAATATGGTGTAAGATGTTAAGAGTAAAAGCCTAGTAATAGAAAAATTAGCTAGTTCCAAGAAATCTGGAGCATAACCACCTGGCCAACAGACTAGAAGAGCTCTATATTCTCATTCCAAAAATAGGTGAACCAACAGAGTGTGGAAATTATTAAACATTATCACTACTGTCACACACAAGCAAAGTTCTGCTGAAGATTCTCCAAAAACAACTAAAACAGTACATCCACAGAGAACTGCGAGAAGTGCAAGCTGGGTTTAGAAGAGGCCATGGAATTATAATCAATGATAGACGGATCTTAGCTGAAAAGTAAAGTACTAGAACAATGTTTATCTGTGTTTCTTTGACTTTGATAAGGCACTTGACTGTGTGGATCGCAACAAATTGGGGTTAAGGTTGAGAAGAATGGAAATCACAGAACACTCGATTGTGCTTATGTGAAACCTATACTTGTACCAGAAAGCAGTCCTTAGAACAAAGCAAGGAAGCATTGCATGGCTCAAAATCAGGAAAGGAGTGAGTCAGGAATGCATCCTGTCTCCATTCCTTTTCAGTCTATGAGTGGGACATTCAGGAGGCTGGACTTTACAAGGAGGAATGTGACATCAGGATTGGAGGAAGACTCTTCAACAATCTACATTATGATGACACAATCTTGTTCACAGAAACTGAGGAGGACCTGAAGCATCAAGGATTGCAGCCTTCAGTATGGATTAAAGCTCAACATCAAGAAAACAAAGATTGGACCAATTGACAGCACCATGATAGAGAAGAGATTAAGATTGTTACCAATTTCAGCTTTCTTGGTTCCACAATCAACTCTCTTGACACCAGTAGTCAGGAAATAAAATGAAGAATTGCATTGGGAAAGTCAGCTATCGGGTATCTCTACAGAGGGCTGAAGAGAAAAATGTCAATCTAGAAACTAAGATGTGTCTGATCCGGACCATGGTCTTCGCAATTACTTGCTATGCATCAGAGAACTAAACATTCACTAAGAATAAAAGAAGAAGAATCAAGGACATTGAGTTGTGGTGTTGGTTAAGAGGACTGAGCATAGCATGGACTTCCAAGAGAACAAACAGGTCTGACCTGGAGAAGGTGAAACTAAGTTGCTTGTTAGTAGGAAGGATTTTGAAGCTCCATGGCATATTCTTTGGGCATGTTGTCAGATGGGGCCAGTCCTTGGAGAAGGACATCACACTTGGAAGGGTGAATGCATAGGAGAGGAAGACTCTGGATGAGATGTATTGACATGGTAATTGGGTTAATGGGGGTAGATGTGTCAGAAACAAAGAGATTGGCTCAAGATTGTACATAGGGTCACTACGAATCGAATCGACAGCACCCAGCAACAACAACAATAATGAATTCCATATGAATTGCAGCAGAATATTCTATAATATAATGCTAGAAGTTGGGTTCTCTATGAGGGAAGGCACTAAAATAACCACAAAAATAGACAGGAGCATGCCTAAAATCTTGAAGATGGCATGAAATGTGGTAATGCTTTATTTTGAGATTGTTTTATTATGTTTTATTAAGCTGTACATGGGGTCATTTGAAGTCATAGCTGACTTGAAGGCAACTAACAAGATTTTAATCAAATGTAAATTTTTCTTATATGTGATGAAAGATGACTTGACCAGCCCCAAGAGAGAGAAGATGAGAGCTATTGATGACATTTCTATTAGTATTTACTTAACTTGGAGCTCTGATCACCTAGTGGTAAGAAGCTGTGCTGCAATCTCAAAGGCATGCAGTTCAAATCCACCAGCTGCTCCATGGGAGAAGGATGGGCAGTCTCCTCCCATGCAGTTTACTGCTTGTGAAAACCTGTTACAGGGTCAGCTATGGTTCGGTTCCAACTGAACAGTACAGTAATCAACAGCAACTCTCCTCTAGCTGAGAACATTTTAGAATTCTACTCATATCTATATTTACAAAATTTGAAACACTAGGCCCAAATTCCTTATTGTTTCATGTGATTTTTGCTTCATTTCATATTAATAGTTTCACATCAACAGGAACAATATCTGATACTTTTAGTGAAAACACCTTATCTATCATGTATTGCTCTCAATTAATGACTACAGTCGAGCATAATCTATCTGTGCCCAAGATTTTAAGTAAAAGGACTATGGATCAGAAGAGCTTGAAGGATAAGAATCCATGGTTGTCTTCTTGTTGTTATTATGTTCCATTGAATCAACTACGACTCATGGAGACCCTTTGCACAATAACTCTGAACCCTGTTCTATCCTGAGGCAATCTCACTCTCTCTGACACACCTATCCTCATTACCCTAGTTATTGTGTCAATCTATCTCATCTGGAGTTTTCCTCTCCTGTGCTGTTCCTCGACCCTTCCAAGCATGATAACCTTCTCCAAAGATTGGTCCCTTCTGGCTACATGACCAAAGTATGTGTGATGAAGTCTCAAAATTATTGCCTCCACGGAGCACTCTGGCTGCACCTTCTCTAAGACATATCTGCTTGTTCTTTTGGCAGGCCACGGGATATTCAGTATTCTTCTCTAATACCACAGTTCCTATGCATTGATTCTTCTGCCATCCTTACTCACTGTCCAGTTCTCAGATTCATAACAGGTGCCGCTTGCTATGCTGCAGCATACCTTCCTTGCAGGTACCTTTCATTATCAAGTACTTGAAATGTATGCCAATTTAAATTTTCAAACATTCCTTCCAGGAAAGACCCTAATTCCTTAGTCTATATATCAGTTTAGAGATCCAAAATGCACACTGAATTCAGGACTAAAACTCTAAGCACATCCATTTCCTTACATGTCTACTTACCAACTTGGTTTGCTTCATTAGTGGGTCTAAATTTTGCACTGAAACAGAGTCTGAGAGTTATTTCCGCATTCTTGTTCAACAAAATAATTTTTTCTGGTGTGAAAAAACCTTCTACAGATACATCAGCAATGCTCTGTGACCTAAAAGATATAAATGGAAACTAATAGCTTGCTATTTCTGTTTAGCTACACATATCCTAACCTTTACATCAAGTATATGTTACCATCATGTACTATTATTTCTCCATTTTTTATTTAAACACTTTGGCCATATTTTATACTTGAAAGTGCCAGAACCTTAGGGATAATATTTTTCTTGTTTGTAATAGTATCACATAATTGTATTTGTTGTTGTTGTTTTTGATTGTCTTTGAGTCTAGCACAACTCATAGAGACCCTTATGAACAAAAGGCCTGAATCCCCTCTACAGCTATCAACATTTAACAAAGTTCACAGAATTTCCAGAGGCATAATTGTACTTAATCACATGTTTATGCATTGATTTGTTCATTTAAGAAAAAATATGAAATGTTAATAATATTAATAAAATATTAAATGTTAATAACTTATTCACATGTAATATATTTTCTTAAATGAACAAATAAATGCATAAGCACATATAGTAGTCTTCAACCTACTTGACGACAGGAATAAAAGTCATGGTCTCCAATATGTTAATGATTGTCACTTTTCTCATAAAGAAAATAAAGGGATAAGATGGAAAAGTAAGGGTAAAGGGGCAAGTGGAGGGTGTGTTTGTTACCTTGCTGTTCCGGAAGCTCTTAGTGATTTTTTAAAGTATGGCAAGCGGCATGTAAGGAAGGGTGAGTGAGTGGTCTCGACTAGCTCAATGTCTGTAAATGGTAGGGCAGGCAGGGGACTATATATTCCCAGTCTGGCTAAACTCTTCAGATATCTGGAGAGGTTTTCACACATGCATGATCTCATGTACTTCTCATATTACTATGAAATGAGCAGAAAAAGTACCTTCATTCCATGAGTGAAAAAGTTCGAGACTTAAAGACATTTGGTGACTTACCAGTTTACTGGGTAATAAATAATAGTAAGTGAGAAGTTAGAATCTACATTTTCCTAAGTCTTTGGCCAGTAAAATTGGTACTTTATCATAATGATTTCTGGTACACATCATCAATTATTTATAAAATAGTAAGCAGTATACTAATTTCACTATTTTTTTTAAAAAGTTTTTCTTGCTATTAATGTGCCACTGAGTTGGAACCAACTCATTTGTAGCTTTCTAACAGGTTTTCAGAGGCTCTAAATTGCACAGAAGGAGACTGTTCATCTTTATCTCTTGAAGCAGTTGGTGGATTCAAACCACATGCCTCTGATTTGGTAGTGCAACTCTTTATTCTAAGCCACCAAAGCTCCCATTTTTAAAAGTACCACAGTGAAATACAGATTTTTTTAAATTAAGTTACTACCTGAATAACTTGAATTCACTGAAAAATACTTTCAGAAATCATATGTTAAACCATTCACCTAATAAGCTGTCCTAAAATGTTTATTAACAAGCACAGCATGTCCTTAAACTTAACACGATCTGCAAGTACCTATATGAGTGCCATCCCCTAATGTGATCTCTTTGACTATCAGTAGAGATGTCACTGAGATGGATGTTCTGCAAACTTGTTCTATTAAGAAGTATTCTCAAAGAATTACCAATAAATAACTGTCTTAACACTTAAAATATAGCCACAAAATGGTATTAAGTTAGCATGACTGGCAAGTTGATTTGATTCCATGTGTCTTTTGGCCATCATTGATTTTGTCAATTTCACCACAAGGTTCTTATAAAATGTTTTTTGTTTGTTTTAGGTTTTTAAGTGATTTTTTCTTTTTTAAATGAGATTTTAATGAACATTTATAAAGAACTTGAATTTCCATTCATTCATTGTTGCACATTTTCTTCCCTGCCCCCCAGCCCAGTTAGCTTTTTTCTTTGGAAAAAGTTCTCTCAGTATTATACATCCTCCCCCCTCCCCCCTGCCTCTGCCCCCAGACCACTTTACTACGAAGCTCTTATTCTGGACTCTTGTCATGCCAACAATATCTAATCATATATTCCTTTTATACAGTTCTCTCCCTCATCTATTCCAGTGCCATGTACATTATTTTCTTAGTTTTAAAGATTTATTTATTATATATTGTATTTTGCATTTTTTCTAGAAGTATGCTACTCTTAGTTGATTTTACTCAATAAATATATTCTTTTTCTTATTTTTCAAAATCCTAGCTATTACCCCTGGCTTTTCTCCTCCCCCTCATATTCTGCAGTAAAGAATGCATGTCATCTTTCAAAAGCATGAGAAAGATTGTAAATAGTATTATTAAACTCTGAAATAACATGACATTAATGCATAATGTTTTCTGTTCTTGATCTATTTTGATGTTTAAACATATTCTCAACAGAGTCTAATGAGGAACTGAGCTAAATTTAGTAGTGAACTTTGATACAGATTGTAATTCCATTCTGATTCTATTCTCTCACCAGCACAATGTATTTATTTCTGATAGCGGAATCTTACAGTTCTTGATTCTCTTATTGCCTCCCGCACCTCTGCCCTGCTATTTAACTCCTACTAAAGTCATACCGGGAAAGGTGGTAGGTCAGAGAAAGGAGGAAAGAATCTCAACAAGCAGGAATGATGCAGCGGCATGGCTGAGAGCATGAGGAGGGCACATGATAGGAAAATCTGTTATTCATAGGCTTGTTGCAAATCGTAGTTGGCTTGGTAAAGCTTGGCAAGGTCCGTAAAGGGAACTATGGTGACAGAGTCCGTAGAGAATTATAATAGTTAGAGACTGAAAACTTGCTGGAAGGCCAGCTATCAATTGATTCTGCCTCAAAGGCAATGAGCGAACCAGTGAAAGTCAGTAAAGGAATCACTGGCAGCTCTTAGCAAGTTGTTCTGCTAAACCAAAAGGTGGGCTTCTCTGGCAGTTTGAATACACCAGTGGCTCCACAGGAGAAAGATGGGCAATCTTCTCTGCTCAATTTACAGTCTTGAACCCAAAGGCTCACTGTTAGTGGGTTCCAACCTGAAAGCAAATGAGCAACCAAGTGAGAAGGTCAGAAAAAGTCACTTTAGTCTGAACAGTGGCTTGCTGTTCACAATGGTGTGGTCTGCAACCCACGAAGGGGACAGGTTTTCATTTGTTGTGCCTGAGATTGTCACGAATGGAGGATGTCTCAGAGGTAGCTACACCACCAACCACAATATAAGAAGTTATGTTTCACTTGAACGACCCTAGTATTTTCTATTTTCAACACACTGTAGAAAATTATTCTTAGAGTGAGCTGAGGTGAGGTTACGTAGACGGTTACCTGAGAAATATTCTAGATAACATTTGAGGCGCTTTGTCTTTTCTATGCTATTTTGGTTTTCACCATACAGAGAAGAGAATGCGATTCTATGGTTAGTAAATATATTCTTTTCTTGTGCTTTGAAAGATATTTTCTTCATTTATGCAAGCTATTGATACACATATATCCTGATGCTGTTGTCGTTAAATGTTATTGGGTCAGCTCAAACTCAGAGTGAATCCTGTCCCTAGGCTCACAACTCTTGTTCTTGAGCCCATTGTAGCAGCCACTTTGTCAGTTCATCTTGTTGAGGGTCTTCCTTTTCTGCACTGACCCTCTACTTTTCCATGAATGCTCTCTTTCTCCAGGGAGTAGCCCATCCTGAAACCATGCTCAACATATGTGAGATGGTGGTGTCTTGCTACCCTTGATTCTAAGGCTCTTTCTGGATGTACTTTTTTTCAAGACTGATGTAACTCATGTGGCATTAACACCATGTCAGCTACAGCAATGTGTTTTACTCTAAAACAAGGGTTTCTTTGGTTAGGTAGATTGTCTATGGCTCTCCTTGACTCACCAGAGTTGAACCACTTTTCCAAAGGCACCAATGGTCACGTCAGTGATGGAATCCCCATTCAAATCTCTATAGCCGTCCAAGGCTCTCCCAAAGTACTGGAGATGACTCTCAAAGGCGGTATCAGATCCCAAGATTTTCTAAAAGAGAAAATGTGACATGAAATTTCAGAGCAGACCAGCTGAAACAAATAAAATAGAAAAAAAGTCAGCCTCTATATTGTAATACTAAATTTTCAGGATAGCCACTTTTCAAGTTTGACTTTATCCCCTACAAAATTCCACCGAGTTTTCAACATCTGGCGTGTGTTCATTGTGGCAGTCACATGTTTACTATAAAAGCAGTAAGAGTCTTAACATTGACCTAAGTAGCCAGAATAAACCAGGGCAAAGATCTGAGAATTGGGAATGAGTTGATACACATTCCTGTTCTGACTCTTATCCCAGATGATTTTCTTCAGATCTTTATACTTTCTCAGGCACCCTTTCTATTGTCAGATACCTCCTACCCATGAACATTATTCTTTGTTTTAGCTCTTTTTCCATAGCCTTCATAAATACTAGGAACCTTATCTTGTTTACTTTCTGTTTAATCTGTTCCTGTCGCTACAATGCAAGGTCCTTGAAGATGAAATTTTTGTCTTGTCCTTTACTGCTTCCCCAGAGCAGCACATAGCAGACGCTCATTTAATACTTGCTGAATGAGTGGATAAATGTATAAAATAAGAAGGAGATATTGGATGGTTTGCCTGGTACTTATTTTCTAGCTCTGACATAGTGACATATATAAGCCAGTACATTACTGATAAGCTCATGGATTACCTGGGAATACTTTGTGCGAATCGTGCCCTGATGACCATTGTAGATATACACAGCTCCAGAGTTCTGATTCTCTAAAGGTGAACCAACTATTACATCATTCCAGCCATCCATGTTGATGTCTGAAAGAGCCGCAATTGCTGAGCCAAACCGAGCATTTTCAAAACCCTCTGGGCCTTCAAGAAATTGGTGATGATTCAAAATGCCCTTTCAAAAGGGATAAAAGATGATTAAAGCAAGCTTTACGACGTGAGTAATTAAAATCCACAGTAAATCATGACCAAGCCATTACACAAGATGTTATAAGTGGGTAAGGTTTCAACCTTGGAATACAAAATTCTCTGGCAATAATTATAAGTCACAATTTAAGTAAGTAAAGTCATAAAATATCTGCTTATAGACCAACATGAAAGGATGCAATTCTCTCTAGCTATACAAATCTACATAAAAGTATACACCTTGTCTCTTCCCCCCCTTGATATTAGTATCTTTCTCTGATCTCAAATTTTTCTATTTAAAAATTTCTAGTGAAAATCCAAAAACAGTTTAAATAAAAAAGTAAAAACAAAACAAAATAAAAAACAACCAAAACAACACCAGACTCTCAAAATGCCATATTTGAATCTGAGGCTGACTTAAAATGACTGCACAGCAAAGTAACTATAATAGTATAAAAGTAAGCCGATATAAAGCAAAGCCACTGACTGTGAGTCAATTCTGACTCAAATCAGCCCCATAAGGCAGAGTAGAACTGCCTGGAGAGTTTCTGAGACTCTAAGACTTTATGGAAGCAAGTGGCCAAATCTTTCTCCCACAGAGAAGTTAGTAGGTTTGAATTACAGACCTTTCTGATAGCACTGAAGCACGTTAACCAGTGTGTCACATACGGCTCACTTAAATAGCATATCAGACCCATGCTGTGGAGACTGCTCTCCCTTCTCATAACCCTTCACTGAGTTTTCAATCTTGTAGATCTTTACAGGAAGAGCTCCTTCAGAGTAAAGGCAGATTTGAACTGCTGGCCTTTCGGTTAGCAGTCTAATACTTTACATACTATGCTGCCAGGGATTCCACATAATTGTATATGAAAAAACGAGACTACTAATATCTTACGCATTTTATGAAACATTACAGAACCATGCCAATGAAAAGACATTTCCTCATGAAACAAAGATATTTTCACAGAACTTTTACAAAATCATATACAAAAATATGATTTTTTTGTGATGTATCATGGCACTATCTCATGACAAGAAAGCAATGTTGCTCCACTACAAAGTTGGGTCAATGTTGATCCTTTTTGCTCTATTTCAGTCATATGGAAATTAATTTACCCTTGAGCTTTGAAAAAGCATTGTTGTTGCGGTGTACTATCACGTTGGAATCGATCCATAGCTCAACCTCTGGTAGGTTTCAGAGGCATTAAATCCATATGGAATAGACTGCCACCTCCTGTGGAGCAGCTGGAGGATTTGCACTTACTACCTTTGGAATTACATGGCAGCTTCTTACCACTAGGCCACAAGAGCACTCCTTGAAAAAGTATTGCTGTCATGTGCAACTCATAGAGACCCTACATACAACAACTCTGAACCCTCCTCTATCCTGAACCAATCTTATTGTCCCTGACACACCTAGCCCCATTATCCCAGTCACTGAATCAATCCATTTCATCCAGAGTCTTCCTCTCCTGTACTATCCCTCTACCTTCCCAAACATGACATCTCTCTCCAAAAACTGGTCCCTCCTTGCAACATGCCCAAAGTATGTCAGATATGTATTACTCTGCTTTGTTTTCCTGTGCTGCCCTTTGAAATCTTCTGTTCAGCTCCTTAACTTATTTATTCCCTTTGCTTTGGCTTCTAGGTGCACTAGTGCAATATTCAGAGTCTATTCTAACACACATCTTTGTCTTTTCTTCCTCCTTTGTATTTGTAATGACCTTTTGCATTCTTCCTGGATGATATATATTCTTGCTATCCCCCACAGCTCATCTGGTCTTCATTCATTAGTTTAAGGTCTTAAACCTGTTCTTGAGATGGTTTTGAAATTCAGGTGGGAGAGACTCAAGGTCAAAGTCTGGATTCTGTGGATTTGATTTAACCTTATGCATCTTTAGTTTAAACTTGCATATCAGGATTTGATGGTCTCTTCCACAGTTAGCACCTGATCTAGTTTTCAGAGCTGATAGTGAGCTTCCCTAATGGTTCTTCCCCTAGATATAATTTATCTGATTTCTGTGCATACCATCAGGTGAAATCCATGTGGACAGTCTACACTTATGTTTATTATAAAAGGTATTTGCAATGAATAAATCACTTATTATATAGGATTCTATCATTCTATTTCCAGCCTGCTTTCTTTTACCAACTCCATGTTTTTCAACTACTGATCTTCTTCTCTGTTCCCAACTTTTGCCTTCCAGTCACCCATTATTATCAATGCATCTTGATTGCATGTTCAATCACTATCTGACTGCAAAAATTAGTAGAAATCACCTATTTCCTCAACTTTGGCTCTGGTTTTTGGTGTGTATATTTGAATGATAGTGGTATTCACTAGACTTACTTGTACGCATATGGATATTATCCTGTTGCTCACAACATTGTATTTCAAGATGGATCTAGAAATGACTCTTTCAACTATGAAAGCAACCCCATTTTTCCTCACCTTTTCATCTCCGGCATAGTAGACCATATGATCATCTGATTCAAAATGTCCCATGCCAGTCAATCTCATTTCATCAATAACCTAGTATGTCAATATTTATGCATTCCATTTCTTTCTTAACAATGTCTCACATTCCACGTTCCAATCACAAGTGTCTGCTTACAACTGTTCCTTCTCCTTTGTATTTCCATATTTGAGGGCTCAGCCTCAGTTACCATATCTGCTAGTCTATTCTAAGTGTGTTCTATTGTCCATAGGGTTTTGAAAGCATTAGGGTAGCTTTTTTTAACTTCAAAATTTAATAACTAACTCAGAGCATTTGATAAGTACTAAGTTCTTAAGACTGGGTATTTGTGAAATTCTCAAACAAGTGGATATTACATCCTTTTGTTTTATACTCAATTAAAAACTCCATCTCACTGTCACTGAATCAATTCCAATTCAAAGCAATCTACTATTGAGTTTCTGAGGCTGTAGTTACAATAGTAGGAAACTTCTATCGTTCTCTTAAAAGAGTAACTGGTGGATTTGAATCACCAGAGAGACAGCCTTTCAGTGAATATACTTTAAATGCTTTAATAATGTCTTGTGAATGATTTATTTTTATGTCCATTTAAATAAATTAAGTAGGGCATTATAGGAAGCCGAGTATAATCTCTATTGTGCTAACACTAGCTTCTCTTTTTTTATCCTTTCCTTTCTGTACTCAGCTCATTTTATGTCAGCTGGAACCTTTAATGCTGGTTTCCTTTTCTGGTCTCATTGAAGTCACTATGTTCATGTGCATATATTTAGAAAGCTCAGCCTCCAAGTTGAAAGACCATGCTTTTCCATGTTATGGTAGAGTACAGTGGATTTTTATGTGCTAACACTGGAAACTTTAAGATCTGGACTTATACCTAAATGTTCCACCAAGCACTGGAATTTCCTGACACACTAATGCAAAAACCATGGAAGATTATATGCAGATTTGCAAAGTACTCAGTATAATTTGTATTGTTCACTGTAAAATGATAGTAAGATAGCCTTGCCCTATTCTTACCCTATCTTTTTAAGGCAAAAAATAATAATTGTACAAGATACCTCAAAAATCACCCATGTGTGTAAAAGTATTTTTAAAAACTGATGTACATAATTTTGACTTTATTTGTATAGCAGTATATACATATTGAAAGAAATCTTCTAACAATGACAGTGAAGTATACATTAATTCATACATCTTTTAACATGATTTTTAAAATTGTAACTTAATCTCCTAAATTGAAATGTAAACAATATATATATATATATATATTCTCATTCATTAGTAATAAGCTTTCTTTCAAAGTGTAATATTAACTTATAGGCACCAATACCAAAGTAAGTTAAACCAAGCCAATATAATTTGCTCTTTACCTTTGTGATGGTAAACAGGTAGACTTTTCCTTCCTCTTTCTTTAGGTCATTCATGTACATTGGTGCACCCACCAAGAGTACATCTGTAATGGTGTCTCTATCCACATCCACTGAACACAACACACTGCCAAAATAGGAACCAATCTAAAATAATAAACAATAGAGGTTTAGTAATTTTAGGATTCATATATGCTTATTTACACTGACTATTTAGTCATTCAACCACAAACACTGAGTGCTTACTACTAACAAGATTCTATGACCAGAAGATAGCTAACAGAGTCTCTTCCCTCAGATTGTGCTATTAGCTGACATTTAGATCTTACTATGCATAAGAATCACTAAGAAAGTGTTTTAAAAATACAGACACTGGTAACCTAAAACTGCACACCTCTCTGGTGCTTCAAATCCGCTAAAAACTCTGCAAGAGATGTGGGCAATCTACAATCTCGGAAAACCAATAGAAGGTCTACTCTGAATTGGTTCTAACTCAATGGCAATGAATTTTTCGTTTCTACAGGACCCGTTTCTAGTAATTCTGCTGCAATAGGATGTAGTCTAGAAAACAGTATTTTGTATAAACATTCTGGGTGCTTCTGTTATTGGTGGTCCAAAACCATACTCAGAAGAGGAACACAGTAAATACATGAGGAGTGTTGTAGGGCAAAGCAAGCAGAGGACTCAGAAAGGAACAGACAATTGTGTTTTCATTATAAAATTCACTGTAATAAAACCAGTAACAAAGCAGTATGTGATCAAAATGTAGGGAATCAGGATGGTTTGGGAAAGTAAGGTAATATTGGACATGGATTTTAAAGGAAGACATGGCATTTTCCAGGTACAGAGGAGTGGAAAAGTATGGACACTGTATAAAGAGTGTGTGGAATGATTTGGAAGATCATTCCCAAAGAGATTGGAAGGGAGGATTAATTGAAGATAAAATGGGGGAAAAAGAGGTTGGGAATCTGAATGTTCACTCTATAAAACAAATGTTCCGTGTTTGTCTACTATGTGGGTACCTTAAAAGGATCCAGAAACATATTAAAAATTATTTCTTCTATAAAAGGTTCATTGATTTACCAAAATAATAACATGTTTCTCTAAAATATTAAAGGGGAGAAAAAGAATGTGATCATAGCTGGTTTGTGGTCATGGAAATCAAGTACTCAGGTCTCCATATTCCTGCAAAACACCAATACCAATAGCAATGGAGCTTAAAAGAGGACCAGGAGTTTTCTAGCGGAGATGACTGGAAAAGCATGGGCAATGGTCTCTCTGTGGAATGATTTTAAAAATGTGACTTGCTGTCAAAGAGATTTGACAGGAGGACTGTTGCTGTTAGGTACTGTTGAGTTGAATATGACTCACAGTGACCCTATAAACAACAAATCTGAACCCATCTTATCCTGTGCCTCCCTCACCAGCTCTGACCACTTGAGACTATTTCTGTACTCACTCTGTCAGTTCATTTTGTTGAATTAGAAACAGAGTAAAACATTATTCCTCCTCTGAAAGTTTCATTGATTTTTCTCAAAATAACATGACTTTAAAATATTAAAGAAGAGAAAACTTATGTGACCATAACTGCTTTGTGGTCAAGGATGTCAGGTACTCAGAACTTTTTACTCCTGGAATAGTAAATCACAGAGAGTGTCAAATCGGATTTAATCCCAGAGCATTGTTAGGAGGAAAAGTTGTAGTCTCTTTGACTCAAGAAATGAAAACCAATTTCCATTGGTTTTCAGATAACAGTAATTCTCATTTCAAATATGTTACAATTCCACATGTCAAGGTTTCTTAGCCAAGAAATTGTAATTGATTAATTGGCCTTGACTTTAGTGGCTTTAGGAGGAAGGGTGTATGACCATCAAATGGTCATACACAGGTAGAAAGTGGTAGAGAAGCAAGTTGCATGTTTTCAAACGATCAAAACCAAAAGAATACATTGGCAACCTCAGAAGTGGTTGCTGTTGGTATTGTTGTCAATGAGTCAGCATCAATTCTTTGTAACTTTACACATTACAGAATAAAACATAGCCATAAGTGTGTCTGAATCCATTTTTAAAAATCAAAAGGGCCAAACTCATTCAGCGTTTCTTAAGCTGAAGGAGCTAAAAAACAAATCCAAGCCATCGGTGGCAATACTTAAGGATACTTTGGCTAGAATGTTAAATGATCCAGGAAGTATCAAGAGAAAACGGAAAGAATACAGAGTCACTGTATCAGAACAAATTGGCTGACACAGAAGAATTTCATGAAATGACATATGAGCAAGAGTCTATGGTGATGAAGGAGGAAGTTCAAATTGCTCTGAAGGAATTGGCAAAAAGCAAGGCTCCAGGATTTGACAGCATACCAACTGACATATTTCAACAGAGAGACACAGCCCTGGATGTGCTCACTAAGTTGTGCCAAGAAATCTGGAGGACAGCCAGCTGGCCGACTGACTGGAAAAGATCAATATTTGTTCCCATTCCAAACAAAGGTGACCCAACGAAGTGCGAAATTATCAAACAATATCATTTATATCACATGCAAGCAAGATTCTGCTGAAAATTATCCAAAAACATTTGGAACAATATGTCAATAGAGAACTTCCAGATGTGCAGGCCGGATTTAGAAGAGGTTGTGGTACTAGGTAGGGATATTATAGCTAATGTTAGATGGATCTTGGCAGAAAGCAAAGAATACCAGAAGAATGTCTATCTGTGCTTCATTAAATATGCAAAGGCTTTTAACTGTTTAGATCACAACAAGCTCTGGCTGACTCTGAGAAGAATGGGAATCCCAGAACATTTGATTGTGCTAATGTGAAACCTATACTTGGACCAAGAAGCAATCGTCAGAACAGAGCAAGGAAGTACTACATGGTTTAAAATAAAGAAGGGGGTTGGTCAGGGATGTATTCTGTCTCCATACCTTTCCAATCTGTATGCAGAACAGATCATCCGAGATGCTGGGCTGTACGAAGAAGAATGTGGCTTCAGGATTGGTGGAAGAGTCATCAACAACCTGCATTATGCAGACGACACAACCCTGCTTGTTGAAACTCAGGAGGACCTGAAGTGCTTGCTGCAGAAGGTCAAGGACTGCAGCCTTCTATATGGATTGAAGCTCAACATCAAGAAAACAAAGATTCTCACCACTGGGACAATTGGCAGCATCAGTATGGATGGTGAAGAGATTGAGACAGTTAACAATTTTAGTTTACTTGGCTCCACAATCAACACTCTTGATAACAGCAGCCAGGAAATCAAGAGATGAATTGCATTGGGAAAGTCAGCTGTGAGGACCTCTGAAGAGTACTGAAGAGCAACAACGTCAGGCTGGAGACTAAGGTGCGCCCGATCCAGGCTATCGTCTTCGCAATGACATACTATGCATCAGAGAGTTGGACAGTGAATAGGGCTGATAGAAAAAGAATTGATGCCTTTGAGCTGTGGTGCTGGAGAAGAGTCTTGAATATACCATGGACTGCTAGGAGAACAAACAGGTTTGTCCTGGAAAAGGTGAAGCCGGCATGCTCCTTGGCGTCAAGGATTCTGAATCTTCGTTTGACATACTTTGGGCATGTTGCAAGGAGGGACTGGTCCTTGGAGAGGGACATCATGTTTGGGAGAGTGGAGGGATGGCACAGGAGAGGAAGGCCCTTGATGAGATGGATTGATTCTGTGAGTGGAGTGGTGGGAATGAGTGCGTTTGAGACAGAAGCTTGGCACAGGACAGAATGGCATTTAGTACTCTTGTGTATAGGGTCGCTAACAACAACAACAACAACAACATCGAATCCTTGCCTTGAGAGTAGCCATCATTTTTGCTGACCTTCTACCAAACAGGAAAACCTTCCCTGACGATGTGCCTAATGTAACCAAGTCAATGTTTTGCCATCCTACCATCTATGGGTTATTACTGATTCAACTGCTATATCTCTCCCTTCCTCTCTTTCTCCTCCAGGCACTTGGGTCTGCAAATGAGTAGCCTATATAGCAGTGCTTACGGGCTTGTTATTATGCACTGTTAATCTGGAGAGTAAAATATATAGAGTGGACTATAATGAAACAACTGTGGCCTCAGAAAGCTGGTTAAGATATCCCACAGAGATCATAACTGACATCCAAGCAGATATATGCACACCCATGTTTATCATGGCTTTGTTCACAATAGCAAGGAGTTGGAAACAACCCAGTTGCCCATCAACAAACGAATGGATAGAGAAGCTGTGGTATATTCACACAATGGAAT